CCCGCACGACAGCAATACCCCAATGTCCAAATTCGATAACATCGCCGCAGTCTTGAGACACAGGGGAAAGACGATGGCGAAGCTGCCCGCGTACTGGGTGCTGGACAGCAAGGGCAAAGAAATTGCCTCCATCACGTGGGACAAACTCGCGTCAAGAGCCGAGAAGGTGGCACAGGTCATTCGGGACAAGAGCTCGCTGTATCGCGGTGATCGCGTTGCCCTGATTTACCGCGATACTGAAGTCATCGACTTTGCCATTGCCCTACTCGGATGCTTCATTGCTGGCGTCGTTGCAGTACCGATCAATGATTTGCAAGACTATCAGAAGTTGAATTTGATCCTCACATCGACGCAGGCGCACTTGGCGCTCACAACGGACAACAACCTCAAGGCATTCCAGCGTGACATAACAACACAGAAGCTTAATTGGCCCAAAGGCGTAGAATGGTGGAAGACGAACGAGTTTGGCAGTTTCCATCCCAAGCGCAAAGACGATGTCCCGCCTTTGACAGTACCAGACTTGGCATATATCGAGTTCTCCCGCGCGCCTACGGGTGACCTGCGAGGCGTGGTCCTGAGTCACAGGACAGTCATGCACCAGATGGCCTGCTTGAGTGCCGTCGTCACGACAGTACCAGGAAACGGTCCCGGCGATACCTTTAGTCGAACCCTGCGCGACAAGAACGGCCGGCTCATCGGTGCTGGTGCGACCAGCGAGACGCTCCTTTCCTACTTGGATCCTCGACAGGGTATTGGCATGATTCTGGGCGTCCTTCTGACCGTTTACGGCGGCCACACGACCGTTTGGGTTGAAAACAAGGCTGTTGAAGTGCCGGGTCTCTACGCTCATCTCATCACCAAGTACAAGGCCACACTCATGATTGCCGACTATCCCGGCTTGAAGCGTGCCGCTTACAACTACCAGTCGGATCCCATGACGACACGAAATTTCAAGAAGGGCATGGAGCCCAACTTCCAAACGGTCAAACTTTGCCTAATTGATACCCTGACGGTTGATGGTGAATTCCACGAAGTATTAGCGGACAGGTGGTTGAGGCCACTCCGAAACCCACGAGCTCGCGAGGTTGTCGCGCCAATGTTGTGCCTACCAGAGCACGGTGGCATGGTGATCAGTATTCGCGACTGGCTGGGAGGCGAAGAGCGGATGGGCTGCCCCTTGAAGCTGGACATGGGTTCCGATATCGATTCCGACGAAGAGGAGAAGGAAGAGGTGAAGCTTGCGCCCTCGAATGGATTTGGTAGTCTCTTGGGAGGCGGCGGCACCACCACCACAGAGCAGCGCGCTAAGAACGAACTGAGTGAGGTGCTCCTCGACAGAGAGGCTTTGAAAACGAACGAAGTTGTGGTAGTAGCAATCGGAGACGAAGCGCGAAAACGAGCTGCTACCGAACAGGGCACTGTCCGTATCGGTGCTTTTGGATACCCTATACCCGATGCCACCCTCGCAGTCGTCGATCCGGAAACCGGCTTGTTGGCATCACCACATTCTGTCGGAGAAATCTGGGTGGACTCGCCATCACTATCAGGAGGCTTCTGGGCTCTGCCAAAACACACGGAGCAAATATTCCACGCCCGGCCTTACAAGTTTGATCCCGGCGAGCCAACACCCACTGTTGTAGAGCCCGAGTTCCTGAGGACCGGTCTGTTGGGCACCGTCATCGAAGGCAAGCTCTTTGTGCTTGGCCTGTACGAAGATCGCATCCGTCAAAAGGTCGAATGGGTCGAACATGGCACCGAAGTCGCCGAGTACCGCTACTTTTTTGTCCAGCACCTGGTCGTCAGCATCGTCAAGAATGTGCCTAAAATCTATGACTGCTCTGCCTTTGACGTATTCGTCAACGAGGAGCATCTGCCAATTGTTGTCTTGGAATCACCAGCTGCATCCACCGCGCCTCTAACTTCAGGTGGGCCGCCCAGGCAACTCGACACTGCGCTGCTCGACTCCCTCGCCGAGAGATGTATGGACGTACTTATGCAAGAACACCACTTGAGACTTTACTGCGTCATGATCACGGCACCAAATTCTCTGCCCAGAGTAGTCAAGAACGGACGTAGGGACATCGGTAATATGCTCTGCAGAAGAGAGTTTGACTTGGGCAACCTGCCTTGCGTTCATGTCAAGTTTGGTGTCGAGCATGCGGTACTCAACCTCCCCATTGGAGTTGATCCCATCGGGGGCATTTGGTCTCCCATATCATCGGATTCGCGTGCTGGAATTCTGATGTCATCAGACAAGCAATACTCGGGTATCGACCGAAGAGAAGTTGTCATTGACGATCGCACATCAACACCACTGAACAATTTCTCTTGCATCACTGACCTGATCCAATGGCGCGTTGCCCGTCAACCCGAGGAACTCGCATACTGCACCATTGACGGTCGTGGAAGAGAAGGCAAGGGCGTGACTTGGAAGAAGTTCGACACCAAGGTTGCCGCCGTGGCTCTGTACCTGAAGAACAAGGTCAAGGTTCGCCCTGGCGACCACCTGATTCTGATGTACACGCACTCAGAGGAGTTTGTTTACGCCGTCCATGCCTGTATCAACTTGGGCGCGGTTGTAATTCCTCTGGCCCCTCTGGATCAGAACCGACTTAACGAGGACGTGCCGGCATTCTTGCATGTTGTCGCCGACTTCCGTGTCAAGGCCATCTTGGTCAACCATGAAGTTGATCACTTGGTCAAGCTGAAGCTGGTTTCCAACCACGTCAAGCAAGCGGCTTCCATCCTCAAGATTGGCGTGCCGAACTACTACAACACTACCAAGCCGCCAAAGCAAAGCAGTGGCCTGCGCGATAATGGCATTACCATGCAGCCTGCCTGGATCCAGACTGGTTACCCTGTAATCATCTGGACCTACTGGACGCCCGATCAGCGCCGCATTGCGGTTCAGCTTGGACACGATACCATCCTGGGCATGTGCAAGGTCCAGAAGGAGACTTGCCAGATGACAAGTTCCCGCCCCGTGCTGGGATGCGTGCGCAGTACCACTGGTCTCGGTTTCATTCACTCATGCTTGATGGGCATCTACATCGGCACCCCCACATACCTACTCTCGCCAGTCGAGTTTGCACAAAACCCAATGTCGCTGTTTGTGACTCTTTCTAGGTACAAGATCAAGGACACCTATGCGACGCCACAAATGTTGGATCACGCCATGGCCACGATGCAGGGCAAGGGATTCACGCTTCACGAGCTCAAGAACATGATGATTTCGGCCGAAAGCAGGCCACGTGTGGACGTGTTCCAAAAGGTGCGGCTTCACTTCGCGGCTACTGGCCTCGACCGAACCGCCATCAACACTGTCTACTCTCACGTGCTCAACCCCATGGTCGCATCGAGGTCCTACATGTGCATCGAGCCTATTGAGCTCTGGCTGGATACAAAGGCACTCCGCCGCGGTCTGATTTACCCCGTAGATCCCGAGCAGGATCCTAAAGCGCTTCTGCTCCAGGACTCCGGTATGGTGCCTGTGTCTACACAAATCGCCATCGTCAATCCCGAGAGCCGACTACTCTGCCACGATGGAGAGTACGGAGAGATTTGGGTCGACTCGGAGGCTTGTGTCAAGGCATTCTACGGCTCAAAGGATGTGTTTGACGCCGAGAGATTCGACGGCCGTACCGTCGATGGTGATCCCAGCATCCAATACGTCCGCACGGGCGACTTGGGTTTTTTGCATAATGTCAGCAGGCCTATTGGCCCTGGAGGCGCTCAGGTTGATATGCAGGTCTTGTTCGTTCTCGGCAACATTGGAGAGACGTTTGAGATCAATGGTCTCAGCCACTTCCCCATGGATATCGAGGCCTCTGTGGAACGGTGCCACCGCAACATCGTGACTGGTGGATGGTAAGTTCGATATCTCCCATGAGTAGAGTCTATCATATTAACAACACACAGCGCCGTCTTCCAAGCTGGAGGTCTCGTCGTTCTGCTGGCCGAGATCACACGAAAGGCATACCTCGGTTCCGTGGTGCCAGTCATTGTCAACGCGATCCTGAACGAGCATCAGATCATTGTCGATATCGTCGCCTTCGTTAACAAGGGCGACTTCCCGAGGTCGCGTCTCGGCGAGAAGCAGCGCGGCAAGATTCTGGCTGGTTGGGTCACCCGTAAGATGCGTACCCTCGCACAGTTCGCCATTCGAGACATGGATCCCAACAGCATCGTTGGTGGCGACCCTGGTGCAGATGACCCCAACCCTCACAGGGCCTCTGTTAGTAGCCAGAGGAGCATGACCATGAGCGGCCTGGCGCCTGGCTCTTCAAGCCTGCGCAATGTCGAACATGCACCGCAAATTCTGGAGCAGGAAGAATTCGAGCATCAGGTCGGACAGATGGCAGCTCTCCCCCCGCAAAGTCACGATGGTATCGCGGAGATGCCCGGTGACGAAGGTCCTGCGTTTGCACAGCCAGCGAATGCGCCGCCGGGCCACGGCTACGTCTTGCCTGACTTTGATTCCTTTGGTCGCGAAGATGGTGGCCCACCGCCTGTGGGTGCCAAGCCAGGCCAGACCCCGCCGACGATCCACCTCCCCGGAGTCGACGGCCGAGAGAGCATGGATTTGTGGAAGAATCAGCAGGGCGGTGGTGGTGGCCAGAGTGAAGAGGACTGGACAGCCCAGGCCCTCATGCACATGAATCTCGCCAACGACCTGGAGAGAAAACAGGGCCAGCAGCACTGAGAGAGGCGGTCTTGTAAACAGAACCATGTCTCTTCTACGCTGATTGTTTTGTCTTCTTTTTGTTACCATACGGGTCTGGGAGGCATTAGCTGCGGGCGTCTCTGGGCGTCTCTGAACTCATGGATACACTGGTTTCGCAGCATAGGAGGTAGTGGTTGGATAGAGGATTCCCTGTGCATATATGTACTCACTCGAACCTCGAGAAAAGATCATTGTTAATTCATTCTTATTAAACTTTATGCCATCTCTCGTACGGGAAAACATGAGAACGTCATGTCGGCCCTAATGCTGTTGTTCACTACCTCGGATTCCTCATACTCTCCTGGATGAAGCTCGATTGAACAACAATCGACCCCCCATTGATGTTCTCCTCGGACCCGGACTCGGTAGACAAATTCTTGGCCCCGCCAGATCCAGCCGTGATTCGATTCGTAAGTCCAATCTCGTCATCCGACTCCCCGCCCAAATTGCCGTCGCCCGCTCCGCCGCCAAAATTAAACCTCGACCCGCCGTACGTGAACAGGGCACCCGTACCATTTTGCGAGCTACTATTTTTTCCTCCGCCGGCGCTCTGCTTCGATTTCAGTCGCCATGGTGCGCTGTTAGATGAGGGCGCTCCACCTCCGGCATTGCCACTGGAGTGGCCCAGGGAAGACGAGATTTTGTGACGAACGAGGCGGCGGAGGGGTGCGAGGTGCGGGAGGCAGGCGGAGACGATTGCGATGGAGGGTTCGATGGCGGACCAGATGAAGACGGGGCCCATTTGCCAGGTTATGTCGAGGGCGCGGGAGAAGGTTGAGAGATGGGTTATGCGGACTATGCTTGCTACGCAGACGCTGGAGGGGGTTTGAGTTAGAATGGGTTGTTTTGTTTTGCGGATTGTAGTGTATCTGTTGTTCAGCGATGGTGAAAAGGGGGAAGGGTGGAGTGACTTACAAACTTCCGAGCAACATGATGCTACAAACAGCAGCCTTTTTCCTACCCGACATTTGCAGGTTTAGAATCTGCGGGATGGGAATCAAGAGGACGATGACGTCGTTGACCATGTTGATGATGGCGAGGGCGAGGTAAAATGTGTTGATGTTGATGCATTTCCCCTGTTCGCCGACAAATTGATTCCAGTAGAACGAGAGCGGGCGACACGCGTTGGCCATGGTGGCCCAGATGATGATGGGGTAGGCGACGGAGAGGACGTACCCTGCGACGAGGGAGAATTTGAAGGACTGGGAGGAGGCGGTGGAGAGGAGGAAGATGCGTTGGTAGAAGAGGAGGATGGAGATTTTGGTGGCGGCGCAGGCTGTGCCGTAGATGAAGGTGTAGGCGTAGAGGATCTATGGTTTAGGAGTTAGTTTGAGTCTGGGGCTTGCTGAGGAGGAATTACTCTTCTGCTGAGAAGGATGCTGATGAATATAGAGTCAAGAAGGGGAAGCTTGCTTTGAAAACTTGTGTTAGGTCTGGAGGTGTGAATGACCAGACGTGGTTTCCTGCGCCGTAGGCTCCGCCCGCGATGCTTAAGCCGACGGTGGCGCCTACGAGGAGCTGTGATGAGACATCATTAACATCTTGAGCCTATTCACACAGTATCTCACATGGGGAAGTGTTCGACTAAGTTCTTACCAGTGAGAGAAGGATCGTCCAATCATCCGCCTTCAGACTGTGACCTTGAAGAAACCTCGCCATCAGCCGCAGCACCACGGCGACGGACGCCAGGACGGCCAGGATTATGACAGTGGCATTGTTGCGAACGACGCTACTTTCTGAAATGTCGAGGCCATCTGGAGGTGGACCGAAAATGGCGATGATGTTGGGATCAGGTTCCATTATCGACGACCAGAGAAATGGGACGGTGGTGTGAAGCAGGAAGGGGGGACCGATATCACCACATTGCAGGAATGCAACGAACTTTCAGTTCCTTGGACGACATCCTCTCCTATGAGATCCTTAGAGTCTACTTTTCTTCATGGCATCTGAAAATTGGGTCGAAGAGTCGTTGCGGCACAGGCTGGCATCCCAGGAGGCACAAAAAGGAAATATGATGCATGTTGGAGGAGTCGAACATGTACCTTCGGATACCCTCCGACCAAGGTAAACCCGCGGTATTCGCAGTTGCTCTGCGTACAATCTCCACCGCGATGCTTCCGTGCACCGTTGCATTCACGTTGGACCAACGGTCTAGTTTCGTCTGCATCCAGAAGAGCGCAGGGTTCAGAATGCTGTTGGTACTGGGCAGACAGGCCCGGAATTCCGCATGGCCTGATGCTTCCCGTTCTGGCTCGCCAAAGAGCCAACAATGTGGATCATTCCTGATTTCTTCCGTTCAAGGATTATATGCACAGACGGGGAAGTTGTTGTTGGAAGGCATGTTTGTGTACTCCGTAAATCCCCTGGAGTCTTGACACTTCATCTTCGTTGGTGCGCGTCTCGTGCGTGCAGGAACAGGAACGTGTTTTGAGCGGGCGTTGATGGCAAACTCGCTTTTCTGGTGAAGTGCCAAGTTTGCCACCATTTAGCAAGACTTTGATATGACAGAATACGCTCATTGTCAAAAAGTCATGCTTGCTTCAAAGCGCAAAACGGTGACTCGAAAATGAGATGGCGCGAGTATCTCTAAGAAGGGAAGACGTGTGAACGTTGTAACGTCGAGGAGCCGCTGATCCTGCCGTCCTTTACCAACGGGCCGTCTGACTGCTTTGTCTCGGGGAACCAAGGGTACGAGTCCCGCATACAAGGATTAGAATATCACATGCGACTTCCTCTTCGTGATCCACTTGTATTTGAATGACGGACATGTCCAGCATGCTCCCTGATGCTGGAAGTTATTTGATATCAAAACACGACTTCGTATCATGAGAATACCTATTGAGCCGTATATAGGCGAGAGCATCAACTAAGTCCGCATCAGATGTCCCTGAGTCTTTGACAGGATTTCGAGTTTAAGATTGTCAAGGTCAAATGAACCCTTTCTCTATGGTTCCTACCACTTGTGGAGTGAGGGAGGCCGATCCTGGTTCTTGTTGGAACCAGGGCTACGAAAGAAAGAACAGGGGCCGACAGTCTACCTCACCCCGTCAAGGCAGGGAAGAGAACACCGGCAGGTTTCTGTCTCTGTTACCAAAACTTTCAAAGGAGCATCTTAATGCAGGTCCCCGGGTGCCAATGCCTCCGTTGCTGGAGGACTGCAACATGATATGACCTGATTTGAATGTATGGGTGCGGCGTGGTCAACATGCGTTGCATGGTGGTCTAGAGCATACGGACAAAGACACAGCGATGGTTTACAAGGGTCAGGTATAATTACAGTCGCCATTCTCGGATATTTTGCTATTACAATGCTCTTCTCAGCTAAAGGCTTTTTTGCAGCAATTTCTCGCACGTCAACAGCTATGGGTTCCTTGTCAGGCTTCACAGAGATCCCGGATCTTACGCCCCTCGAGCGTATCGGACCCAAAGGCTACCTTCGATATGTCTTCCCTTTCCAGCTTCCCGAAGATTACAACCTGGATCAAACTGCTTCTATTCTGCGCGCGGGGTATGAAGCCGCGCAACGGCGTATCGCTGTTTTGGGGTGTGAAGCCGTCCCAAACCCAGATGCAAAGCAAGCCGGCGTCTTGAAGCTTCAGAAACTTCGTCATGGAGACATTGAAGGCATCACCGTCAAGGACCTCCGAGCTCCCGGTGCTTTCCCCATAACGTACTCGGAACTCAAATCCAAGAACTTCCCGGTGGCTTCATTTGACGCAATTACTATCTGCCGGCGCTCGGTATGGGCAACACCAGACGAAAGGCTGACCGTGTCTCTTCCGCAAGCCAACTTCATTCAAGGGGGCCTGATTCTATCCTGGTGCATCTTTCACATGTTTGGAGACGGGAAGACGTTCCTGATCTGGACCAAGATCTGGGCAGAAGAGTGTCGCAGAGCCCAAGGCCTCGAAATCACAGACCCCTTCAAGCTCGATGAGGCATTCCTCAGAGACCGCCAACGCATCATGAGCCCAACCGGCAAGAACCCGGGTCGTGCTGAAAACCACCCAGAGTACACCATCATCCCCTTCACGCCCGAGGGCATGCCGCCAAAGATTCTTTCCGAAGACCACCGCGGTCAAATCTTCTACTTCTCGCCCGAGGCCCTCGCCAGACTCAAGGCCGAAGCCTCTCCAGAAAACGCAACGGAACCCACGAAGCAGAGATGGGTGTCCACCAACGACGCGCTTTCGGCACTGCTCTGGCGCACCGTCATGGCGGTGCAGTCACCCCTCGAAACCCTCAATGGCGACCCGGTGTCAGTCTTCAACATCGCCGTCGACGCCCGCCTGCGTACGGACCCGCCAGTGCACCCGGACACCATGGGCTGCTTCCTCGGCTACGTGGCGGCTTCGGCGCCGATCCGCAAGATGCTCGGCTCGGCATCCTTGGCTGACTTGGCGATTCTGGTTCGTCAGGCGTTGATTCGTGCCGATAATCAATTTGTCGATGATGTAGCCACGCTCATTGACACGGTGGAGGATGTGAACCGTATCATCCCTACGGCTCTCTTGGATGTGCCCGGCAACAACTGCATTCAGACATCATGGGTCAACTTCTCTCTTTATGACGTGCAGTGGGGACCGGTGCTGGGCGACACGATCCAGGCCGTTCGCGCGCCGCATGTTGGTGTGATCAACGGGTTGCAGGTCGTCATGCCTATTTTGCCGGACGGTGGGATGGAGATCCTTGTAGGCGTTGAGAAGAACTGCTTGGACAGGTTGTTGCATGAGCCCTTGTGGATGAAGTATGCAGAGACGAGGTGAATGGAAAACAGGAGTATCACTGGTTGGGTGTGTGAATGAGTTACGTGACAGACTGCGTCAGTTATTTCTATCTTGACTAATAGTGTTTTTCTGCAATGCGGGTTGTCATATGTTGCGGTGGTCTCCCTAGGACTTTCAATGATCTCCTCACCCAATGCGCACTTGTTTCATCTCAAGACTGTACCAGACTCAAGCAAAGTCCGGAACCTTTTGTCGTCGAATTGAAGACAAGCGAAATTTCTGTGTGGTAATAATATTGATCAGCTGTTACACGGCTCTTCTTCGTGAAAGAGTCTCTCAATTCGGGAATCCGCCGCAACTAGACGATATATCTTTGAGGCCAAAAGTTCGCTCAATCTCCATTCCTCAATATCCCTCGTTTTGACACGAGGACTACGATTACATCCGGCTCATGCCACATACATGTTCAACATCCCACCGGCCTCTCTGATCTCCAGAGAAACTTTTCATTCTATAAAAATGGACCAGGGACTTTTACCAAACTTAAATCGTAATGAGATTTACTGAAAATGTTTCAAAACGGAAAGACAAAGACCCGGAGTAAGTATATGGTTCTTCTGAGCCCTTTTCCTTTCTTCACCAGCATTCAGCTAGAAAAGCTCGCTGAAACTCGTCCGAGTCAGCTTCCTCGACTCCTATTTGTCCACATATTAGAACCGACGTGAGTGCGCCGGGTAGAGTATTTGAACCATATTTTGCTGTAGCCGTTTGAATGATGAAATCTTCTGTCATCGACGAATCGGATGGATTACTAACGTTTGGTGTTTGTCGTCTGAAGTTAAACGAAGCATTTCGATTTGAGTGGATGAGAGGACTCGGACAAGACATGGATATGAACTCAGATTTGAGTTCACCGGGGTCCGAGATTGGTACCGCATAAAGCTGTTGATGGCGATAAACTCAAAACCCCCTGACGGCCCCTCAACGGGGAATACCCATCGGCTCCCGCCCCCCAAAGCAGATATTAGAGATGAGGATGGCCTTTGGTCATGTCGATTGAAGGTCTTCATTGATTGTTGTCTTCATTTTCCGTGTAGCCTCGTTAGAGGATTTTTCAAGTCATTCGTTTTTGTCACTCTTTTCGATTATGTTCACCCAAACCGTTGTGGCAGTCATCCTGCTATTTGGAGGCGTTCAATCCCACCGGCACCATGGATTCCACAGCCACGGCGAAATGCGACGCTCGATCATCCATAACGCGAGGGCAGATGGAGAAGCAGCGAGAGGAGGATCAGACAACGTTTTCGTGAAAATTTCCCACGACCGACCAATTCTAGTTCCGTCGAGAGCAGATCACCCACAAAAACCTGTCGGAGTCGATAACAACGACAACCCCATCCAAACCAACAAGTTCTACGCCAACTTCTTTGCCAACAACCAAGACAACGCGACATGGACTCACCCTTACTCCGTCTGGTGGTCCAACGATACCGTCAAGCAGGGCCACGGCTTGTCCATCTCCCATACGGATCGGCGCAACTTTATCTACGGGCCTGGCGAGCCTGTCCAGTCTTTTGAGGATCCATTCTTTGACCAATCTATTGCGCTTTCGGCGCGGGAACTGCAGAATGGAACGATTTTGACCACGGACACATTGAAAGCATTTTCCGCCAATGTCAACCTTGCAACAAGAAAAGGCGCCAAACCGATTGTCTCATTTCCCGTAGTCCAGGGCATGGCTTTCGTCACAGGTGTTTACAACGACGCCACCGTTCTCATCCAGTCTCAAAAGCACTTCTCGAACATCACCGACCTTCATTTGAGTTCCAACGGACTCGGAGCTACAGTGTATGGGTGGGAGGCGCGGTTGGGCGATGGATCAAGCTGGTTGATTTACATCAACCCAACTTCCACGTCTGAGAGACCAACTCTTCGAATGACTGATAAAGGAACCATTTTGGGACCAAAGCAGTTCACGGGAACTGTCCAAGTCGCCAAGAACCCAGCAGGTAAAGCCGGTATCGACATCTTCAGTAAGGCTGCTGGAGCGTATCCGGTTGGCGCCACGCTATCGGGCTCTGTCTCCGGCAAGACTGGAACTTACACCTTGGCGTGGCAAAAGAAGGGAATGAAGGAACGGTCACTTCTCATGTTTGCTCTGCCGCATCATGTCAAGTCATTTGACCAAAAGACCGCCAGGTGTCTTACGAACATCACCTTGGCGAGTACGACCAAGGGAATTGCCACGGCTACGCTTGCGGACGAGTTTACCATGGTGGAGCCCGGGCTCCCGACGGATATGGGTTTCGACCCTTGGTCGCCTCGTCTTGGATCGGTGGGATCCGCGGGCTCAGCGGCAACCGTTTCCGAAGACGCCAAAGCCGCAATCATCAGTGCAGCAAAGATCGAACTTGCTCGGGACATTACAACCCTGACCAACTTGACGTCCAAGTATTACGCCGGAATCGCCTTTTCGGTTTACGCCAGGGCGATTTATGCCGTCAACAACATTGCCGGAGATACTTCATTCACAGCCAGTTCACTCACCAAGCTTGAGGCTGCGTTTGATAGGTATATCAATAACCAGGAGCCGAACCCCCTATTCTACGATGATGTGTGGAAAGGCCTGGTCTCTTCTGGGTCGTACGGGAACAACGACTCTTCGATCGACTTCGGTAACACGTATTACAACGATCACAACTTTCACTACGGCTACTATGTGTATGCTGCTGCAATCATTGCCCATTTCAATCCCTCCTGGTTGACAAAGAATGACGGCCTCAACAAGATTTGGGTCAATAATTTGATCCGTGACTGGTCCAACCCATCCACTGAAGACCCTTTCTTTCCCTTCTCACGAAACTTTGACTGGTTTCATGGCCATAGCTGGGCCAGAGGTGTACTCGAAGCGCCGGATGGCAAGGATCAGGAGTCCTCAGCGGAAGATGCTTTCTCAACGTACGCGATCAAGATGTGGGGCAAGGTGATTGGAGACGCCAAACTTGAGGGCCGAGGCAATCTCCAGCTTGCCGTGACGGCACGCAGTCTACAGTCATACTTCCTCTTGGCCAGCGACAACGATGTGCAACCGCCCAACTTTATCGGAAACCGCGCCACAGGTATTCTCTGGGACAGGAAGATCAACCACACGACGTACTTTGGCGACGAAATTGCCTATATTCAGGGCATTCATATGCTGCCCATCGTGCCGAGCAGTGCGTATGTACGAAAGGCATCCTTTGTGAGAGAGGAATGGGATCAGTATTTTGCCGGCAATAAGTCGGGATCTCTTACTAGCGGCGGCTTCGCAGGCCATGTGTACGCCAACCTCGCGATTGCGGACAAGGCTGGTGCGGTTGAAAGTTATGAGTTCATGAGGAAGCAGACTCCTGACAGCCCCTACCTGAGCGGAGTGAGTTTGACGTGGAACCTCGCCTACACGGCGGCGCTGGGAGGCAGTTTGGGATCGAACTCCACGGTGAACTCAACAAGTCGGGCGGTCTGAAGTGAATGACCAGCTATTCGTCTTGAGGTGAAAGTTGGAGTGAGCTAGATTTGAGTTCACGAGGCATGTCTACGTCCTTGTAAACAGGAAGGGCCTCGTGGAGTTGGGATGCGATTTGAACTGAGAGAGTTAGTCACATCTTCATATAACAACGCAGTAGACAAGATAGCAAGATCTGGCAACCTACGGGCAATTTTCCACCTTCTTGAAATTCGTTCCGAGAGCATCTGAATCACCTCTCGTAACAGAGTCTCGGTGTCACGACCGTAATGTTTCCCTAGTAGAATTGCTGCTAAGCCGACCTTCTTGTATAGAATGACTGCAGTAAGAGGCATCCTGTCGAGTTTGAGAATGTCCGCAGTCTTCTCCATACGCATCAGATCATGAGCAATAGTAAGGGCCATTTCAAGAGCTGCGATGGATGATTCCTTGACAAACAAAGGAAGTTCTTGAGCGACATTCAACGCCAGCCTCTTTTCGTGAAGTTCTATCAGTGCCCTTTTCTTTATCAGCTGCCGCTTCTTGACGTATTATTGAAGAATTACTTGCAAGAGATACACAGTGACCACTGTGTACTGGTGCTCAAGCCGTCTCCAGCTTATGGTCAGGGTTTCTCGGATTTTCTTTTGTATCAGCATGTCGAGCTTCCACAATTCGTGGTCAAAGAGTGTCTCAAACTCGACGGACGGATCTCTGGTGCGCTGCATGACACTCTGCAGCGCAAAGAGCGCCTGAATTTCGCTGGCGAAGACCCCGCAGGTCTGAACATCGTCTGCAGAAAATACAAGCGGTTGAAACGGGCCGCTGATATTGAGGTCTTGACTCCATGCGTCATCCTCTCTGGGAAGCATCGCGCCGAGTCGAGCATCGCGAACAAGTGGTGCGCGATCAGAGTTCCCAGTAGAATAAGTGTCAAGCCGATCGAGAAAGAAGATAGCCCACCATACACGCATCTTCTCCTCACTGAACACTGTAGCAAGATTCAAGGATTGGTATAGGCCGGTTACATGGCCAAGACTGGCACATATCGCCAGCGTGGCATACGCATCAGATACGAAGCCTCGACCCTGCTCGTATATGGCGAGTAGTAGGCCTGACTGGATGGTCTGTAAATGACCTCTCGAATAATTCTGTAACAGTATGAATGCCAACTTGCAATTGTCATAGAGCGACGGTAAGAGAGGTTCGTTGTATGGCGCCGAAGCAGAGGGTATCACCGGAGTGATAAGCAAAATGTGTAAGATAAGACAGGCGAGCTCGGCAGACGGTGTGCTCTGTAACGACGCTGCTTGTCTTCTCAAGCCGAGTGGGTGAATGATTGGAATCCATTCGTGGATCGATCTCAAGTATCCATCAACCACCACCTCTATTCCAAGGTCGAGGACTTCTAGGGTGGCGAACAAGTGCGCTGTTAGCAAGTCGTCATGGTCTTGGCGTGTTGCTAAGTTTGGTCCTAGAAGAGAAGAAGAAATCGGGTGTGTCCCCTTGTAAGAAGAGCCGTAGTGACAAATACTATTGTGACTATGTAGTATCAGTAGTTTGAACGCCTACGCCTTATAAGACAAATATGCTTGATACTTACTCTGTGCACCGGCTACAAGCCGGTAGTAGCCGATCGCAGCCCTTCTTCTTTGTCGAGCACAAATGACAGGCGTTCGAGGATAAACTACTTGTCGACATACTCGCTTTAGTACAGGATTGAGTTATCTTGAAAAGCAACCGATCGGAATGAGTTCTAGAGAAGTTTCGGAGGAGCCCGCAGAGCACTCCATTGCGCGAGTTGTTCCTGGAGAGTCAGCTTGCTGACAAACTGTTTCTGGTAGAATACTGAACTAGTCCGCCGCTAGTCCGCCGCTGACCCGCCACTTGCAGGGCCAAGACCGGGCCAACCCGCCGGAGTAGTGTCGGACAAGTGGTGTGCCAGGGCGTAGCAATGCTACGGTGCTCTTAAGGGGTTACAGCATTGATTCCAAGACCAATTGACTGTCAAAACCATCTCTCGTGATGGATACTAGGAGTCGCTACTGACTGGAAACTGGTCACAACGATTCATGCCGATGGGGTTTCTGAAGACTCTGGGGCCGGTGTCATAAATAGCCCAGCTTCTTCTCACTCTTCCCAACGCATTTAAGGCGGCACATAAACTTCATCAACTACATTATCTGATCTTCTATTGCAATATAAAACCAGCCCTCAATTTCTATCATAATGGCAGTTTCACAGGAGATTCGTGGCCCTTCCCTTTTCATCAGCCATGGAGCAGGCCCCCTCCCCCTTATCCACCCAGGCTTAGAGGATTTCCGGCAGCAAGTCGCCAAATTGGGCAGTAGGCTCAATGGAGTCAAAGGAATCATCCTTCTTTCAGCGCATTGGGAAACCGATGAGCCTGAAATCACTGCCCTCGAAGATCCTGGTCTCTACTTCGACTACGGAACTGTGGCCGCAGCCCAAGCCCTTGTTCCACCTGAGGCCTACGAGACCAAGTATCCCGTCCTCGGAAACGCAGCTTTAGCCGCGGAAATCAACCAACGACTCCAGGATTGCGGCTTCAAACCGGTTCTCGACTACAAGAGAGGCTTGGACCACGGCGTCTTTGTCCCGCTCAAGATTATGCGGCCCAAGGCAGACATACCTGTTGTCCAGGTATCTGTTCTCACTGGAAAAGACGAGGAGGAGGCCACAGACAAAAACCTGCGATTAGGTCGCGCCTTGGAGTACTTCAGAGACTTTGGGTACGCCATAATGGGGAGCGGCGGGTCGTACCATGACTTCATGACCATGCAAGACGTTCTCCAAGGTTCTGGCAAAATTCCCTCGGGGGCTGAGGAGTTTGAAAGCTACCTCGAATCTACGGCGGCAATTGCTGATGCAAACACTCGCGAGGAGGCTCTTAAGCACTGGCGGGATACCCCGTCGAGCTATGTGGCTCATGTGAAAGCCGAGGCTGAGCACTTTTGGCCGTTTCTAGTCGCAGCCGGTAGTGGCGGAGACGTTTCTGGGCAGCGAATCCTCAAGCTTCTGTCTCAGGGCTTGCCCATGAGCTTCTATGAATGGTGGGGTTAGAATTTGAAGCTATCTGGCATATTGAATGCTAAACGGGGGAGCGAATCTTCCAAGGGGGTTGTGTAACTTTGCTCCAAGTCTATGTCACGATATTAGTGTCGTTACGGTCATAGTGTCAGGTTCTTCATCATGTCTTGGGAAGATCCCCGCCTTATGGCCTCCGAACTTCAGTATCAAAGAGAATAGGCTACGATTCAAGGAATTTAGGCGCCACGTTCTTAATGCGAAGTGCTCAGAAGTGACGAATGACTCAAGCCGACCGCCTTCATTTTGTTAGCAGAAAGCGAAGACTGCAATCATATTAGTTCAAGATGCTTTAGTACCTAGTGGCTAGAAATCTGGGCCTTCGTATGGTAACCAAGGAGCTTTGATGAATTGTTGTTTCTCTTTCTATTACTTATATGTAGTCTTTAACCTCCTGGGTCTCAGACTTGGGGGAGGGGGTAGATGTTTCACCCATTCGAAGTCTTGGCTTGCTATCTGAGATACTTAATCCTACTTCCCTCGCAATGAGCAGCACGACTTGCTGTAAGGAACCAGATCACTGGTTCCAGTAAAGTACGGACGATGGGTCGGTGCTACTAGGATTCCTATTTCAGAGAGTTCTCCGAAAAAAGCAGCATAATAATTACCTGTGTGTAGTGAGATAAAAGTGGTGTTGATGGCAAAACCGCTCAGTCTTTGTCCTCAATTCACTGAATGGTCAATGCTTGTGCCTCAGCCCGAGAGAATGGACCACAGACCCACTGGCTTTCAGAGCCCGCCCTGCTGTTTTTCCATTTGTGAACAAAAGTAGACATGCTGTTTGTCTCTTTTCGTGTTTCATCGTCGCTTGGTTTATTAATGTCACGCACGGCTGATTAGGTGCTGTAGCCTGTCTGACGTTTCTGCTTTTAGGAGTATCTCATGGCGATTAGCTTATTTAAATGCCGACAGATCCCACCAGAATGGCATCAACGATCGCAGCAAAGTGACAACGGGAAAAGGTTTCCATACGGGCTGTTGCAGAGGTATTCTGGACGTCTTCGTGAAGTTTTTTGTTGAACCAGGGGGCACCCCTGGCTGTCTGGTTTGCAAACAAGGGGTACAGGAAATGATCCAATCATGCTGCCTGGGTTCATGCAGTCGCCATCTGCAGCTTTGAACTAAAAGCAAACCAACGAGCGCCTCGTATCGCCAAGCTACATCTTGGCTTATTTTGGTGAGTGCTTCAAGTCCAGCTGACGCCGTCTGCCATGTGGAAAGCAAGCTCGCGCCCAGCTGAGTGACTCTCTTCGCGTCACCGTCCATCCGCGGCTATGGCTGCATGTGGATGTGATGTCTATCTGGGACATCGTTGGACGCGTGATTGCTTTGGTGAGCTTGAAGCCTTGAACAACAAGATTACCTTGATTGCAAACAAAAGCAGCAGGAAGATCTTCTGCTCGTTCCAACGCCGTCCCATGCATAATGCGTCTCAGTAAGCCGCCATGCCTATTTGTGACTTCCTTTGGGGGCTAGCTGAAATTTGCATGGCCCCGTCCGACCCTCCCGCCGGCGGCCGAGATTTGATTAACCAGCCCACAATGCAGCCGCCAGATACGGGATAACTAGCTCGCTGTTCAGGTTCTTTATTCTTAAGGATCGAGTCCAATGGATGACTTGCTGGCCCTTCGCTGTTTGTGAGAGTTTTCCAACTTTCTACCTTCCCTACCTCATTTCTTCATGGCTATCAAATCTAAAATGCATTTTTTCCCCATAAGGCCAACGTCCAGGAGGGACTTGTGCATTATCGGAGGAGTCTTCATTACACTTGCATTCTTTTTGCGCAACCCGTTCCTCAGCCAGATACGGCAGAGAAGCGGCGCAGCAACGTCAAGCATACTGAGTGAAATTCAAAATAGCACATTAGGCGTAAGTCCAAACCGTCCAACCCGTGTGTGGCCAATACCAAGAACTCATTCGCATCTCGTCTCTAGTTCGAAAAGATATTCGTCGTCGGCCTACCAAGCCGGACAGATCGCCGAGATGGCATGATTCTACAGGCTGCACTCAGTGACATTGAGATCGACTTCGTCGACGGTGTTCCGGGCAAGGAGGTCTCCGACAAGGCGATACCAAAAACATCTGAGCACGACCGCTTGGGTGACGGCGCCATAGGTTGCTGGCGAGGTCACATGAATGCTCTTGAAGAGTGAGTCTTGCTTATTCACACAATTGTTTACGCCCCAGACATCTGATAAGTTCCCACAGGATCGTTCGTCGCAACTTGACTTCAGCCTTGATACTTGAAGATGATGTCGACTGGGACATCAGAATTAGGCAACAGTTACACGACTTCGCCAGATCGACCCAAGCGCTTACTCAGCCTTTACTTGAAGCGCCTTCGTCCTACGTCGATCGTTCGTATTCGAAACTGTCTCGCGCAGCACCTGAGGTCGCACCCGATATTTCATTTGACCATCTGCCAGCTTCAGTCGCACCAAAGATTTCGCCCTATGGCGACGACTGGGACCTCCTCTGGATTGGACACTGCGGCATGCATTTCCCCTTCCAAGACAGCCAGACTGTGCCCCAAACTCGCATCATTCGCTCCAACGATGTGACCGTTGCCCCACGGAAGAATCTGTGGACGCTCAACATCCCGTTCACCCTGAAGGAGAAGTACCCGGATCATACGCGAGCATATCACCATGCTCAGGAGGGAGTGTGCACCCTCGGTTATGCAGTCAGTCAGAAGGGAGCACGGAAACTTCTGCATGAGGTGGCATTGAAGGATGTGAGCGATGCCGTCGATATCCTGCTCAGATTCTTCTGTGAGGGCGCGAAAGGCAGGAGACCGCATAACTGCTTGACAACGCAGCCGGCTCTTTTCCATCATCACCGCACAGCCGGACCTTTGAGCTCAATGAGCGACATCGGGGACCACGGAGGCGGCTTTAGGGAAGCAAGCATGACTGACATGGTGAGATGGAGCGTGCGTTTGAACGCAGATGCGCTGCTTGAAGGAAGAACAGATTTTGTTGACCAATATCCTGACGATAAATAAACTAAACTTAGATAGACCAAAGCTACACACCTGTCACTTTTCTTCTATATTTTGTAGCAATCTTAGATACCTTACGTTCTATTCTTTTCAAAGCCAATTACATTTCCAGTACCGATTCTTTCGCAACAATTCTGCGGCAACTCCTCAAGTCAAGCTGGCAGTCTCACTGTTTCAGAGTAGAAGAGCTTTCCATGCATTTGTGACCTCGAAGGTAATCAGTCTATTGAGATAGGCGCTGTCATCTAGATCCATGATTGACTATTTACTCTAAGTGGTGTGGACAAGATTTCCTTCGGGACGTGATAAATGACACCGTGATATCATAAAATTACCAGTAGAGAATTCGTTATGAAGCCATTTGGAGAAAGCATGCTAGCCAAATACATTTATGGACGGAAGCCATGAGGCTATGCCACACAATCTCAAGCTCCAAATCTTGGCAAGAAGAAAGTTCATAAGATGCGCAATAGTTTTACCTGACGCCTAGATGCGTGTCAAATCGCATCCTCAAACATCTGTCGGCGATCCACTGTTAGAGCCCTAACCTGAAATGCGAGAAGCATGATCTACCTAGGGCGTTGTAGACGAAGGCGCCTCTTTGAGAGGCTTTTGTCCGTAAACAACATGGCTTTTAGACCGTCAGTAACAGCTCGAACCTTATTCCTTGGATGGTACAGCTAGAATCATTACTCACAGGTCATAGATACCGTGGTAGGCACCTTCCTTCATCTCCTTCCGAACTTGCGCGGTCTCAACTAGCACCTCTTCCTTGGTTCGGCCGAGGACGCCACAAAAGACTCTCAAAGTAAATCCCTCGAGACCTTCGAGCATTTGAGCCAAATTGAGCATACCCAAGTCCTTATAATGTGGCTCCTTAGGCCAGGGGCCGAGAGGTGCTTTGAAACGCTGGTGGAAAATGTTTTCAAAGCCAGTGTCCGTCACCCAGCCTTCCAGCCTCGGACCAGGCGAGGGTTCCCGCCCGATGTTCCTCATTGTCTTCAAGAAAGTCTGGTTCCAGGGCCAAGTGGCATGCTTTTCAGTGTAAGTGCCATCGTCTGAGTAAATTTCAGGGTCCATCTCGTGGAACTCGGCCCAACCTCCCGGGTTCAAGTGACTTTCGATCTTTGTTAGTTCAGGTGAACATGTGGCGATTGCAAGGAAGAGACCCTTTCCCGCAAATGGTTGGATCTGCTTGGTGCATCGACTTACTCGTATATGTTCTTGACCAGCTTGGGCCAGTCTGCTATAGACGCAGCCATGAACCGGCAAAATATAAAGTCGTACTTTGTTTGATGGACCCACGGGCTCTCGACGTCATCGATTTCGAATCTGACATTGACAGGAACCCTGGGACAGTGTCAGCGATAAAGTGGTCATAATCAGCTCGGACAGTTAGCCATGAGCTTACCAAGACGGCTGGATGGCGCTGAGATCGACTCCAACAACCTCAGCATTCTCAAAGATATCGCCAATCTCAACAGCCCCTGCGAAAAGGTTTGTCAGTCTTCCGAAAGAGCGCCGAGAGTAAAGAAACAGAACTCGGGCCTTACAGATACCAGTCCCAGTGCCAACATCAAGAATTTGCTGAATCTTTTCTTTCTCGAGCGGAGCAAGGAATAGCCTATTCTTGATGGCCTTGACCATCATGGCATGTGTCATGTCAAGTCTTTCCATTTCTACCTCATCGTTCGGCATTATGTATGCTACATTAGTTAGCTCATTCAGAATTTCCCAGACATTGAATACTGGCAAACATACAGCCGGGTCTGAAGGCATGATATCGTCGGCCATACTCCATAGGATAATCAATGACACTTGAAGATAGAGACGCAGTGTAATTAGAGCTGTGCGCGCAGAGGGAGTCAGTCATGCTATCTCTAAAGTGATCGTGTTCGAACCTACATCCGCTCATCAATGGTTGATGCGTTGTCAGTCTAAAATGTGGTTAGCAAAGATCTCCTGCGGAGACCGGAAGCTTGTGGTGACCGCTATGATCGACTTACAGTCTCTCCTTCATCTGCCTCAACTATCACATCGTTGGCAACTTGTTGCGTATCAACTGGCGAACCGGTGGGCGGACTGGCTTGGCTTTCCGCTGGAGGCGACGTTGCTTGCACAGGTGGTGTCGTTGCGGCTGGTGCAGCTGGTGCAGCTGGCGCCCCCGGAGCTCGACTCTGGTTGTCCGTCTCCTCAGCCATTGTAGGCGCAGACGCCACGAGTTTATAAGGTTTCGAAGAACGAGCTCACAAGGCGGCGGGTTTGCAGTCGACGAGAATTAGACGACACGGAAAGTTCCCCTTAGGTGTTTCGGGGGGCCGGGCGATTGTCCAGCCTTTTTGTAACTACCCCTCCGTTGTTTGTCGTCCTCTCTTTTGGTTTAGCGAACTTGGCATGTTTGCTGCAGACATCTCTGTTCCTTCTCGTTGGTGCTGTGCCTCCAAGATGCATTAAAATGGAGAAATCCTGCAGCTTGAGATCTTCAGATTGGTTGTCATTCGAGCTCGCAGAAAGCTGTTTCGTGTCCTGTCAGGGTCCGCATCGTCGTAATAGGCGATCAGGCCAATTAGATATAAGCGCTTAGTTCTCGCCGGATATCCGGCCAAGTGTGAGCACCCAGCCGGAATAACTATGCAGCAAGTGCATGGGCAATCAACATTTCACATGGTTTTTCAAACTTGCGCTTGGCCAAAAGATCCATCAGATCTTCTCAAATTCACAGGGCCCGAATCGTTCTGACTAAGGCCACAAGAAAGGCACATGGGTTAAAAGGAAGAAGTCATATTAAAATAGACCTTGTTGTCAAGCCAGGAAGCCATATAGGGGCAAGACAGCAACAGTTCGCACTTGCTGGAGCAAAAGCATACATGTAACTCGACGTTGGCCTGATTCGAACAGACGCTCCCGAAGGAACAAGATTTCTAGTCTTGCGCATTAGACCACTCTGCCACAACGCCGTGATCCACTGGAGGTGGAGTTGAGATCTCCTCCTCAGATGCGGATCATGATCGGTTCCGGCTAGCAACAACAGCTTGATTATCATTCTGCATCGTGTGCCGAGGCCTTCAAAAATACCGTAGGCGCATCGCTTGTTTGTGATTGGATTTGAACATCATGAGGTTTGAGGGTAAGCACCTACTTTAGGTGACTAAGTATATTGTCCATGACAAGATGTCCTTGAGGAGTTGCCCCCATAATCGCTAGTCAATAAACTGGGTCTGCTCTGACGAGCCGTTCCAACTTCCAAGCATCCTCGACCCACCTTCAGTCCCCCAAAACCCTCACTAGAAAACATCTCGATACCTTCTAGTATCCACATGAAATGGCTGGTACAGAGGCTCTTAGCGCCCAAGAGTCCAACTTCATGGTCGTGAGTGCATTGAATGCCAAGGTATCGTCATGGATAGTCTTGGAGCTCGCAAGCCGAAAAGATTTGACCATCTTCATCCACTGGGTCACTTATCACTTGCAAAAGCCGGCAAACTCACTCTCAAAGGCCAAGAGCCTCCTCATGATACTTGGAAATGGCTAGATGATAGTGATTGATATCCATAAACTCCACGGGTTTCTATTCCAATACCAGCTTGTAGTATCTCATGTCGCTCACGGTAAAAGTGACGCCAGCGCTGCCAGTTCCCATGGCCGTCCGAATACATGCGAGGGGGCGATAGCAGGTTGCACTGTAGCAAGCCCTTCGCCCCCTTGTATGGAAAAAGGTAGCATCCAATTGCGAAGTTATCGCGAATCTTGATTGCTAAACACAACTTGGGCTCCCGGCTCCTTACCCACATAGTATTTGCACCGAATCCTCATGGTCACGCGGAAATGGCTCATTAAGGACTTGCGCTGGATGTTACTTTTCTCTGAGCTCGCCCGCAAATGAACGCTGTAAGCTGATGTTGCTCTAAACATCAAGATGGCGATAGATAAGACATGTGTACGGTTAGCAAAGACGCAATGCGCATGTCAACGGTTGTCCTTCGCTTCCAACTGATTGTTGGACTATGTAAACATATCGTGTATGAAGTGACTGGCTTTCTTCAGGCTATCCAAGAACTGGGGCTGAATTTCTATTGCAGATAATAATCCTCAGGGGCATCACGTAAGGTGAACCTAACTCACAGGGGATATTTGAGATTGCGTCCGGATCAACTCGCCCCCGATCGGATGAGTTTTACTCACCGCTGCTGATGCAAGATCCAAGCCGGAATGCCAATCACCCATGCCCTAATCTCCGAAGTGATGACTTGCACCGTCCAAGTGAAAATACGGCAACAGCTGGATAGCTGAGCCAGTATCGGGAGGATAGAGAAGATCGCCCCAAGGAAGCCCTTCGTATCAGGGTTTGCTCCTCATTATCTCTGTTAGCAGCTATGCTTCCCTCACTTGAATCAGGCCTGTCATGAACGAAGCAGCTTTTCAGATGTTCAAACGAACGCTGACTGTGTGGGGAGGGCAACACCACATGACGGGATCGCGCTTATCGGCACCATGTATCCGTATCAGCGCGGTAATCGTTCAGAATTGAGAGAGCTACGGGAGTGGCCACCGGAGCTCTGTTGCGATCCAAGCAAGGAGTACTTGCAGTATTAGTTCGTCTGGCTTCTTTTCACATATTATCTGTGCAATAGCAACGAAAGCCGGCCGATAAAGTTTCATAAGTTCTTCCCTTACGACGCACCAATGCATGGTCCCCCAAAAGCTTTCGAATTATTCCGTGGGGGTATGCAGGTTGCAGCTGTGCAGGTATCAAGGTGCGTGCGCCATGCCAGGGGTAAAAAGGGGGATCATTACGAGATACATACTGCGTACCTCTGCGCACATAACGACGCTATTACCAGAGATGTTTTACCCAATGGTCTAAACCACAAGAACCCGCGGATCGCGGAAAGAATTTTCTTTGGTACTGTTGCCTTTAACTGTGTTAGTTCAGAATGCTTGCCTGTTTCTGTGACCAAACCATTACGAACGTCCAACCCGATAGCCATGGCTCCGGAACCAATGTCATTTTGACTATCGATCATCCCAAGTTGCAAGAGTCTAAATCACTGAGACTCATCTCGTTCGGCGGCAAACGGAAAATCATAGGCAAATGTTCTGCTCGTAGCTCTGCCCACTTCAGGAACCGGAACCCGAAGGGAGGGTAATTAGAGTTCACGGTATTTCAACCCCCGGTACCCCGGGGGTCAATCACGGTTTTCTGTCACTCGCCGTGCCTCTAGACAAGGGAACGAGTGGGGCTTCAAGAGTTCGCATTGCAACGTCACGGCCTTTGGCCACGCTCACTGGGGTAATTGGGGACAAGGAACCTGACTCGGGTCGTCCGAAACACAGAGCATGATAACCAGTTCTTGCTGTGATCAAGTACGCGCTCCCGCCTGAGAGAACCTTGAGTTTTATCAGTGGCAGATAACTTCCTACCCCCTGCGGCACTGCCATGAATGCTTGAATGCTATCCTGTTTTATCATGGTAGTGCTACTACCATTGCAACGCGGTAAGTGCCACATGCTACGCCAGCACACTCGATGGAAGGGAAAAGGTTGTCTCTCGCGGGAAGGCGACTGTAACAATCTGCACTTTCTTCACTGCACCTCCGCTATCATCATGAACAGGATGACCCCTCAGATCTTTGTGATACATATCTCTGAGCATCTCCAGTGACATTCCCGCATTTGGATTGTCTGCTGTGCAGATTGAATACGCTCCTTGCTTGCAGCCTCGACTTTTCCCGACCATCTTGCGGCGGCGGCGATCGAAATTCGGCGGAAGTTTGTGTTTTTAACATCGCGCAAACAGTCTCAAGTCGCCCAACATGGTGACGATGAACCATGACTACACCAAGGGTCAAATGATCGGCCTGGCGATTGGGTTTATGGTCATTCCTACAGCGTTCTATGGACTTCGAGTCTGGGCGAAGCTACTCGTCAAAAGATTTGCATGGGACGACTACCTAACGGGAGCAGCGCTCGTAAGTCTACAGATGGAGCTTGGAGCCATTGGTTGAATGATATCAAATGCTGACCGATGTCTCCTTTCAACAGCTGGTATCAATCACCTGCTGTACTCTGCAACTAGCTAGTATGTCTGAAAATGCCATGATCACTTAGCAGAAGAAGGAACTGACGCGAAGGCAAGCTGCGATTCACGGTCATTTGGGACAACATCAGCCCACGTTCCCCGACGGCTCCCCAATTATGGACGATCCAGGGTTGATCTTCTTCGAAGAGGTGAGTTTATCTCTCCAGCTCGCCGGCGTCGCATCTGGCACATAGCTAACAAGCTTTTCGCACATCAGACAAAGTTTGCACTTAATATGATTTCAATCCTGGGCTTAGGGCTCGTCAAATCATCTATTCTCTTGTTGTATTACACCCTCTTCCCAAGCCAAAGGTTTCGATACGTCGTCTTTGGGATACTAGCCTTTGTGATCGGATGGACAGTCAGCTTCTTCTTCTCTCATCTCTTTACTTGTTTTCCCATCACGGTGTTCATCGAGCCCTACTATGGCAACTCGTGTGTTCAGACGGTACCGATGTTCCTCGCGCTCCTATTCACCGACGTCATTGCCGACTTTGTTATCCTCGTACTACCTGTCGCGATGGTTCTCAAAGTCCAGATGCCCCTGAAGAAGAAACTTGCAGTCATCGCAATGCTAGGACTTGGCGCTGCGTAAGTTTTCCAATGTCGTTGGTAAGGGCAAAGGTTGCTGACAAAAATGTAGCGTCTGTGCCGTGAGTGTCACGAGGGTGGTAGCTACTTTTGCTATCGCCGAAGAATATGTCAAGCATCCTAACGATGTCATCTGTAAGTCACACTTGAACTGATCAACTCTAGCTCCTTCTCTGACGATGACACAAGATTACACCGCTCCCGTCTTCTTCTGGACCAACATTGAACTGTCGCTGGCCATTGTTTGCGCCTGTCTCCCAACACTCCGGCCAATCTGGGTGCATTTCTTCCCCAAGCCCATTACGACAGGAAACGATTCTTACGAGTACGGATCATCACGACGTATTGGAGGGAAGAACAGTATGAGAACACCGAGAACGCCATATGAAGAGCTCGATGAATTAGAAATGATTCGAAACGACGACAAGACGCGCTCAGGCTCCCCAGAAGGACGAGAGATTCTGAGGGAGACGACGATTCATCAGACGATTGAGCCTTCTGACAGCTCGAGTACTGCCAACTTAAGGACTAATGGTGTTGGATTATGAGCAGGAGGACTAATTTGAGGGAGATATGTGTATGAGTGTTGATTTTTTTGACAGTCGTTCATGGTTCTAATGAGACCGATTCTTGTGTGTTTCCTTGATGATACCTCATTTGTACTTTTGCCGACTGCTATCGAAACTCCAGATCTGAGCTAGACTTTGGCACTTGTCTTTTCTTCTCAATATTTGACCTAATCAATGGTATCCGAACCAACTTGCAAGCGGCGATTTTCCCTATCAAATGTCACACAACCACGATTCTCAAATTTGGTCGTCAGTTGCAGGACTTTGTTAATCAATAAGCCGCGTGGCTTCGAGAATCATACGTAACCCTAGCGAATTGCTAAGATTGCGCTTTGGAGAGCAGCGTTGCCGCCCTGCCGAGGACTTACGGACCTGACCAAAGCACAGTTCTTGGTGTGCTTCAGATGTCCAAATAACCTCTCCATCCACAACCTCCACAGTACGGGCCAGCGGGGGCAAAGAGGGGATGATTTTCTCGCCAAGGGGGTTTTTCTCTTTCGACAATCGGTGCAGCGGACCCGTTTGATATCGTATGTCCCGCAAGACAAGGTCGAACCCAGCAACAAGCTCCACCTGCAATGCCAGGGTAACCGGACACGACCATGTCGCGGTCGGGATTCCGTAATCTTTTGCCAAGGATGGGAACGCTTGCGTCGTTTTTCTGCAATGGAATTCCAGCGCCCTTGTCGTATGATGGTAATATTCGCCCAGAAGTCCGCTCGTTAGTGGCCGCAAGCTCCGAGATGCGACGGTCACATTGGAGATGGGTTGACTGATGGAGAGCCTGGAGAGGATTTACCCCTCTCTCTCCTCTTCCCCCTTTGATAGTGGCATGGTGTAGACCCTGACCAAGATGGAGAACCTCATGTCCGTTTGATCCCTACCAAGACTATGCGACCTGGCAGAGACCAACACCAACGCAGCTGCATACCATGGTAACCGGGAGAATTAGTCGGCATATGCCTCTTCTATAACGATCCAGGATTTGACGCGTGGATCCAAGGGGGTCATGTGGCTGGGAGTCTCATTGCATCCTACATCATACATGTAGACGCAGACATGAACTCGTGCACGTTCGCAGACCCTTAAAGAATCTTGTCCTGCTCTGTGGTTGTCCATGCACAAGCTTCTTGGCTATCACAGCTTCTCGCCGACGATCACCTGCCACTGCTACCCCCGGACGACACCATGCGGTCCCTAATCGTCGGTCTGCAGCTCATCTCAATGGTAGCATCTGCTGCCATTAGCATCAACGCCCGTTCCGTAGCCGAGGATTTGCAAAACCTTGTCTCGACTTCCTCCGTGGCCGTCGAAGTTCGAGAACGTTGGAGTGACTTCGATGTACCTCTGCCATCAGTCATTGTCAATGCGACATCCGAGAAGGATTTGAGTGCTGTGGTAGGTTCACCGATGTTCTCGGCCAAATCGGATCACTCACTACTGTGCACATTTATGCTAATGTTTATCTGCCATACAGGTCAAGTACTGTTCGACAAACAACATCGCTTTCCTCCCCCAGAATGGCGGCAATGGTTGGGCGACCAAACAATTCAACCTGGGCAGCAATGGCGTCCTGATCAATCTCGCCGGCTTCAACCAGGTTAACATCAGTACCGACAAGAAAACAGCTACGATTGGTGGAGGAGCGCTCATTGGCGACGTCGTTGCTGCTGCTGACGCTGCAGGTGTCTTGGTCCAGACAGGCAATTGTAATTGCGTCGGCGCTCTTGGGGCAGCCCTGGGCGGTGGATATGGCAACATCATGGGGGAACACGGCTTTGCTGTTGACAACATCTTGTCTATGCGCGTAATCACTGCCACCGGAGAGGCTCTGACAGTTTCAAGCTCATCTAACCCAGATCTTTACTGGGCTCTGAGGGGCGCAGCACCCAACTTCGGCATCGTCACTTCCGCGACAGTGAATGCATGGGCAACAACGAGTCGTACATCCTGGATCATGTCTCTGACCTTTGACTCCTCAAAGATCGCCGACGTGGCTCAGACCATCCAAGATCTTCCGTTGCTTCCGGAACAAGTCGTCTACCTGGTGCTGACAAATTCCGGCGACTCTTTGAATTCGCCAATGGTTCTTGTCACTGGCTTCCTACGCGAGGGAACCGAAGAAGCTGGTCGTGCCGCCTTTGCGCCTCTGTACAACCTCGGACCCCTGACCAACTCCAGCGTGGTTACTCCTTACCAACAATGGAACGCCGCCAACGACAACTTCTGCGCTCGCGGAGGCCGCAAACCGGCATACAGCACGACCATCAACAACATGAAGTCGGAAACATGGCCTGAGATCTGGACTCTATACACCGACTTCCAGAAACAGACGGGCTCACAGAATTCAGCTGTGTTGATCGAGAGATACAACCTGACCACGGCAAAGTCGGTTCCTTCTGGGTCCGCAGCGATGCAAGATGAGCTCCGTCAAGAAGCGTTCGCGCAGGCGATTGTCATCCCGTGGTATGAGGACGCGAGCCTCGATACTCAAGCTCTGGAGTTCGGCGCAAAAGTCCGAGATATATGGAGCTTCTCTTCAAGTGCCACCGTGAACCCGACGTAAGTTAAATATTCAATCAAAATTTCTCTGTTGTCGTTGTGGTCAACTAACGGCCATTTCAGGTACATCAACTTTGCTCACGGGGATGAAGAGCTGCAAGCTATCTACGGCTCAAGCTTGGATAGACTCAAGACCTTGAAGAAGCAGTTTGATCCTTCAGGAGCATTTGGTCAGTGGTTCAAGATTGCGTAAGCATTTCTCGATGACTGTGTTTTGAAGTATTGTAACATGCAGAGAAGCACTGTATCTACTCTATAATTAGTGCACACTGGACGATTCACAAGAGATTCAGAGAAGGTACGACAGGTATGGTCCCAGCCGTCGTCTACTCGGTTCTGCATTTTGACTATTGTCCATCGGTATCGAGATGTATATAGTAAGATACCGATCAAATTTCACAGAGTAAAAGTGCCTTAATCATTTCCAACTACCTTTCGTCTTGTCGTTAACTCCTTTCGATGATGCATAGGTACCTGACGTGACCGAACTCGATCATTCATCTCGAAATAGCTTGAAGTGTCATCTGAAAAGTGGTTCGTCTTGGGGAGAGTGTATGTCTGAATTTTATTGATGTATGCGCTCTCATGCCTTCATTAATAAATTGCAAGAACCTCTTCGAGGACGCCGGGGGCTAAGTTGAATCCTCGATTTATCAAAGTCCGTACCCATGCAATAATGCTAATGCGCCGTTCCAAAGTCATTCCAAAAAGGCCGCTTTTCATTGGACACCAATCCATATTAGGCTGAGCAGGCAAATGAGTACGAAACACCACTGAAGTGATCGCTGCAAGCTCCGTATGTAGACTCGCCGTTAAGCGAGACGGGGACGCAAGTCTCCACAGTCTTGTTCGTCTTCGTGTCGACGACGGCGGTGACCTCGGGATTGGCGTACAATGGAATATTGTCGTCCACACATGCCAGCTCCAAGTTGTAGTATGTGGTGTTTGTCACAGCGTCAGTGACGTTGAAAGGGTTGCGGCAGATGGGCTTGAAGACGTATGTGTTATAAGCGCGGATCGTGGTCCATGTCGCGGTGCCCTTTACGGCGCCGCGAGTGTCGCAGACCTCAGTGACCTCTTGCGTCGTTGTGGGAGTGAAGGGGGACCACGCGACGAAGAGATTCCCGTGGGGGTAGCTGAGGTAACCCAAGTTGATGGGAGGGAGGGCAGCTGAAGCAGCGGCGACGAAAGAGGCGCCAAGAATGGTGGAGAGCTGCATTTTAAGAGATTTGGGTGGGAAGAATTAGGTATTACTAGTCAGTTCAAAAACAGTTCAAATCCGATGGTAGCTGGTTCTGGCAAAAACGAGAGTGGCCTGGCTCATCGGATTCCGGGACGATCGGTCTATCGCACTGCTGTTAAATACTCAGGACAAGAGCCATGGCAGCCCCTAGTAGCTGCAGGTCTAGAATCTCGTTCCTTGCAGTTTAGTGGTCCGTTTGGATCGGCCCTCACTTACCGTCCGTGCCGTCATAGTTTCCATGGACCTTTGGTTGGCATAGACAAGGGCGCTGCAGGAAACATTTCAGCCGTTGCGCGATCATACCTTGTCCTAGGCCCGTTGAACGACCCGCGCTAGAACCAAAGTCCCATTTGATCCCATCAGGTTTTTTCGGGCAGTCGGCCAGAGAGAAAATCTCTATCGCTAAACTTCTGCCTGGTAAAACATGGAGAACTTCCTTTCCCGTGCGGCTTGAATCTTTGGTGAGAACTGTTGGTATTCAAACAGAATCAGAATGCAAAACCCGTATTTGAAAATCATGAAGAAGAGATGGCCAATGGCAGATACATCGTGACATCATTGCTGTCCATTTGAACCCTTAGATCGCACTAGAGTGCGGCACAGAGGCGGCAATTGTCAGGCGGAACAGGGCTGCAGATTCAGCGGTCAAATACGAGCTGTTTTGTTGCCTAGACGCGGAAGCTGACGGCACTTAGTGGGGACCTCATGCAATCCTTCTCGTGTTGTCGCCCCGATGGTTCCACAGAACGCATCGAAGTACTTAACTCTTGTAAAAAGCGGTAAGGACAATTTGTCTTTGTTGATAACAAACTCGTACTTTTTATATCGAAATTACTGTCGATGGACTTGAGCGCGTCCTTGGGGCACATTGCGCGTACCGTACAATCAACAAGTATAACTTATCGTGTGATTTCCCTTAGAAGTCTGATCCCGCCAAGATCGATCTTTTGCGCCTGTAGAGCAGGGGGGGAAACGACCATATAGCCACAAATCCTGACCGGCAATTGATCTCTTCGTGTAACTACCGTATGTGGGTACTGGAAGATAGACTCGAGCTTATAGGTTTTTGGCCTATTCTAGCTCCCTATCATTGCTGAGAATGGAGGTTGGCTGGTGGAACTACAACTATCCAGTTGTTAAAATCTTGGGCAGAGACCGGGGTATTTAACATAGTGATGTTCATCGAAGTCTGCAGTCTCTGATGGTGTGATCCGACTATCTTGGGAAGTGATTGCTTAGAATACACGAAAGAAGCATAACAAAAAGAGAACTAACATACCTGATTTTGCAGAGCACTGAGTTTGACAAATAACATAAAGTGAAATGAGGCCAATGATTGATAAGAAGGATTACTTCTGTCCAAAATCTAATCAGGCTACAGCTGCAGCTGGTGCAGCCGATGTTTGCTCATCGGACTCTTCTGGCTTACGTCCGTAGACAACATGCCTGGTGAGCGTTGTTAGTTATGATCTTGAGCTAGTGGTAGGTACGATAGCTTCGAGGGCAGGCAATTCACTCACAAGGTAAAGTACGTTTGAAGTTTGAGGTCCCTCAGGGCCTTGCGCATCTCGCTCATGAAAACAAGAATCTCCACATCCTCCCATCCCATCATTTGTCTCAAAAGGAAAGTTCCAAAACCTTCCAGAGACTGGTCGATGTACTGCAGGTTGACAGCCCCGACTTCTTTCAGCTTGGGGTCCGAAGCCCATCCTCCGATAGGAATCGGCCAGCTTTTCTCCACGATATCCACGAATCCAGCATCTCTCATGCCGTTCGCAACGCCATGATCTCGAGTCTGTTTCCCAGTTTTGCCGAGCCTGTCCATTGACTCGAACATGATTTTCGCCCACCTTCTGTAAACATGATCCTGGGGCAAATTGTCGCCGAGTGCTTGAGAGTAGTCTTCAAGATCTAGTTCGTTCACCTCAACATAACCGCCAGGTACGAGGTGCTCAAATGCCTGAGAATAGAGCTTCGGCCAATCAGAAACACATCCTTCCAGATGTCGGATGTGAACGTAATCGAAGAACTCAGTAGGCCATGTCCAGTCCGCCTCAATGTCGTCGATCTGAAATTTGCAGTTGGGTGGAACCCAACTAGGTTGTATAGGTGAAATGTCAACACCGATGACTTCTGCCGATGGGAATTCGTCGGCAAAATCACTGACAAGAACATGTGAGACCGTTATCTAACTATTATCTTGACTCAATAGCAAATACATTACGGACAGCTGAAAAGAAATAAACTCACATAGCCCAGATACCCGTTCCGGTACCAATGTCGAGAACTTTCTGTTTATCGTTTGAGCGGCTTGTGAACACCAGGAACTTGCGTGCTAACTGACATGGGGGCTGTCTCCTATAGGCGCCAAGAACAGCTTATCGTCAAAGAAGACGCATTCCCAATAATGGCTTGATGTATATGTCAGTAGTGTGTTCGATTTTGGAACAAACCGAGCCGCTTTGTGAAGAGAAAAGTACTTGATGTGTACTGGAATAGACGATGTTTACGTACGCAAGATCGAGCCCTTCATTCTGCTTCTCGTCGTTTGGCCCCCAGTAGTCAACCTTTTGCGTGTATGTACGCCCAAGGATGCGCCGATACTCTGTGATACTTTCGGTCAACGAAGCCGTTGAGGACGTGTGAATGCTATTTCACGAGTCAGCTTACACCCCAAATCCACTGACGTGCATTCTGTCAGTACTCACCTCTCTGTCTCGGCTTCAGTCAAATCATCATGCTCGAAAGCCGGGTCCTATGGAAAGAAGGGTTAGCTGTCGGATGTTCTGAGATTCACCTGAGCTACGTATGTATGCAGGTATCAAGAAGTCGGCGATTCGACTCACAACGACGATTGGGCCTGCCTCGGTCCCATTTGCATTGCCAGCAGGTGAGCTTGCCGCCGCTGGTGGCGATGAACTTTTCGCGGACGGGCTCTTTGCAGCCGGTGTTGACGCGGAGACCTGCGGCCCTGAGCCCTCAGTTGATGCCATGTTGTAATTCGTAGAATTCTCCTGACAGATGATGAGATCTATCTGTCGGCAAGACGTCGCAATGAATAGCAATGATCTGGAGTTTGTGAGGTTCAAGACACGAATATGGGCTCAACCCCTCTTTTCAACGAATTTTCTTATTCTTCTGTTGGTTCTGCGACATGGATGCTCATCTTACAGCCGAACAGGCGTTCGGTTGGTCTGTTGGTGGCTGCAAACCGGGGCTGGAGCCGCCAAGTATTCTAGCGAGAGCCCGCCTCCACGGACGAATAGGATGATATCTTTCCCAATATCCGATGCGTATTCATGGCACTCTAGGCTATGTCCGGAAGGTATGGAAGGTGCCGGGTAGGTTTTCGACACGGACATAGCATGCAACCATAATCTATTGTTCTCACAATCCATTGTTCAACTTCCAGCAGACAGGCAAAGTCCGAGGGGGTCAATTCATTGTCAGATCCGCTCAACTGCAATGATGAATCCTCGCACATACGGACTTGAGTCAATGGTTTAGGGCTGATGTTGCGATCCGCACATATTTGGCTAGTCTTATTGCTATTCGATTTCTCGAGTCTCGCACTAGATGGTAGTGACTTGTGATCCACTCGAATTCCAGCCAAAGGCTGTTGTGTTCCATGATGAATAAAGACATCAGATGCCTCTCGAATACTGATATCTGATAAAACATTTTATCTCACGTCGCAGTGGGGTTAGCCTTTTGGCACAGGTTTCTAATGTAACGGTCAAGTCGCTCGTACATGTAGAGACCTGTTATTCCGCTTCCATGGCACAATCAGTCGAAATACACAGGCTATCTGGACTTGAAGCGGCCTTTGAACCCGGATTTAAGTTGCTTATTACTGACCTCATGTTGCCTGCAAAATTCTCATCCGGCCTGTTATCCCTCCTGCCTGTTGAGAGGTAACCCCCATCGTCGTCGAATGTTCCATCAACAGTGAAGGGTCTCGATGTTGAAGTTCAAACCTAAATCTTCAGTGCCATCTGGACTAAATTGACTCTGAAGCGGTTCCCATCAGTTCTCAAGCTCAATCATACAGTTCATCACTGCATCACCTGGTTCAATCTTCATAAGTACTTAAGTCAGTATACCTAGCATGTAGGAATCCAAGCTAAAATTGAAAACTAGGATCACGAGGGCAATAGCAAGTTGTCGGGGAGGATATCTATTTGTGTATACAAGGGCAATGACTATGATTCTCCTAGCTGTGATGCCATACACTTACCTCCCCCCCCCCCCCCCACATCCCGAACGGCGAAAGCTAATTCGTGGTCTTCTATGGCTTTCTCGCATAGACAACATGCCTAAAGGTGATACATTCAGTCAGGCTGACAAAGTATTATTTTGTCTCCAAACAATTGAGTGGAAATGGCAACGAAACTTACAGCTTGATGTAGGATTGAAGTCTTAGGTCTCTAATGGACTTCCGCATCTCACTCATAAACACCACGATCTTAGCGTACCCCCAGCCCATTACCTCTTTGAGTAGAAAGGTACCAAAGCCTTCAAGCGATTGATCGAGGTACTGTAGATGGCACGCACCCACTTCCTTGAGAGTCGAATCCTATGGCCAAGCACCAATAGGCGCAGCCCACTGCTGCTCAACAATGTCAACAAAGCCTGCAGCATCTAAACCTTTGGCAATACCATGATTGCGGCTTTGGGTTCCCGTCTTTCCCAGTCGATCCATTGCCTCTAGCATCACTTTGCCCCACCTTTTGTAGACGTGGTCTTCGTTCAGTTCAGGAAGTACTTGAGAACACAGTTCCACGTCTATCTCCTTGACCTCGACAAACCCTCCCGACTTGAGGTGGGCAAACGCCTGGGCGTATAGCGCGGGCCAGTCTGCCACGCTACCTTCGAGGTGACTTAAGTGCACATAGTCAAAGTGGCTGATGGGCCAGGTCCACGGCTGTTCGATATCATCGATCTGGAACTTGCAATTTGGTGGGACCCAACTTGGCTGACTCGGCGAGATGTCAACTCCTATCACTTCGGCGGAGGGGTACATATCCGCAAAGTCTCTGGAAAATCTCGTCAACTATGTGCTCAAGCAACGCATGCACACTGCGCAGACTCATTTTGAAAGCATTGAGTAACACTCACATAGCCCAGATACCAGTCCCAGTGCCAACGTCGAGAACGTCCTATGGCAATTTTAGGATATCTCTTCGAAGTTGACATTTGGTAATTTGAAAACCTACGTACCTGGGGGGAATCACCTATAGGTGCAAGAAATGACTTGTCATCTAGGAGGAGTGTCTCCCAGTAATGGCTATGGGAGCACACCATGTTAATTACATGTGCGCCCAAAGCAAATGAGTTTTAATCGGTGACTATAACGTACGCAATATCAAGTCCCTCATTCTGCCTTTCGTCGTTTGGCCCCCAATAGTCGGTTTTCTGAGTGTAAGTACGCCCGTGAATACGGCGATACTCTGTAATACTTTCACTCAAAGAAGCGGTAGAAGAAGTGGAGATACTTCGCGGTGCCGTCAGCTCGTGGTCTCTACCAGCAGCCATCCTCAGTTGTTGTCTCACCTCTCAATTTCGGCATCAGTTGTTTGCTCATTTTCAACAATGGGGTCCTGGAAAATAGTTAGATCAAGGCTGTATATAGTAGGCAACACCTTTCATGAGAGTAGACTCTCTAGACCCTTGACATACTACAGCAATAGCGCTTGTTGCAGGCTCATGGCTGCTCGCAATGAGAGGGCTCGCGGCTGTCGTGTCGTCTAGAGACACAACCATGGTATTGTCTCCGCTTTCTGTGTTTGGCTAAAGCGATTTAAAAACTAAGCAAAGGTGAAGTACTCAGACTTGTAAATGACTGTGAGACTCTGTACAAACGAGCGGTCACACGAGTTTTGTGGCAGAAGGTCCAGCAGCCCCGACCCCTCACTTGATTCTGTTGGTTTCTCTTCCCATTCCGGCCTGCATGTTGTTCTGCAGGCTGTATTGGAGCAGCCCAGTTCACTCGAAGACTCCTGTTGTCACCCGCCCAGACGAGTGAAACCAGCCAGATTCCTCAACTGTCATTGTGGACTTTAGGCCCGTTCCGGAAGGTCCAAGAAACATGCATAGCGACAACAGACGCCCCCATAGGGAAACAAAGAAAGAAGCGGTTGTACCTTGCCCAACCAGCCGGATGGACTGCATCACATCGCGTGTTAGTAAATCACAGACAAAGAATGGAGGGGAACGTTGACCCGTGTGCGGATCGCGCCGAAGACCCATTCAGAACGAACGGAGCGCTGGCCAATGAGAAGCTTTCGAATGTTATAGCTTCTTCACTCCGCATTTCGGAAAATGGTCTGATAGTGCCCGATCATGAGAGGCGCCCAGAATATCATCGGCCTTGAACCACATTGACTGCAAAGTGGGCTTCGATCTTGGCGTTGGAAGGTTGATGACAGACGCAAAGACGCACGAACATGTTGGCACCATTGAACCCCATATTTTCCATTAAAACAAGCCGTTTTGTGCAACCTCTGCCATCTCGTAAAGCTGCCGGTCTGGCCAAGATAGGACGGATGTTTTCAACACAGGCCGATGCTCGGAACGTGATGAGGCACCATCCAAACGCTTATCTTTCCTCAAAAGCCAAGAACAGTTGTTTATCTGTTGTAGATCTACACGTGGAGATGTCTCCAACTCTCCGCAAAATATGACGTTCCGAGGTCATCACAGCTGCTCAAGAGTCGATTTGAGTCATGAAGGTCCTCATTCACACAGTGACCTGATTCTGTCAGGAGTAATTTTCTAGAGTCTATTCTCGAGAGACCAGACCATCAAACAAATAAGACAACGCGAAACAAACAACGAAGCTTGGCCGGATGATCCCCCACCAGCCGTTGAATCGCGGTCTCGGTCTCTTTCCCGCTGAGAAACGCAGTGGTGCCGGACGGACGATTTGGAACGAACTCTTTTTTAGGCCCCATTGCCTGCCACTAATGACGACAATGCAAAACCCTGACTCGCATGCAGCACCGAAACTTCTGCACCCTCGTGCTGATCTCGATTGGAGTGACGCACGTTCCTGCGGACTAAAAGTCTATTTTGTGTGGGTGAGTGAGGGGTCCCATTACCTGAAAAGAGTTGAATCCAAATGTCTGTGTTTTCGGGCCGGCCATGTTAGAGGTGAGAAGGAAGAGCACAGAACGGAAGCACACCGCTCTCAAGGCTTAGGCAAAGCTATGATTGGAATCTCTCGCGGCTACGGTATATGCCGCTACTAGTTGCATACTAGTAGCCGCGGCTGCGTAGGAATCGAGGACTAGCTTGAGGCCGGTCGCCCCGGCTTCTAGTCCGATCATCGCACCGTCGGACAGTCCACGGCATTTGCCTCCGCGCCATTACCAATTTCAAGACCGTGCCTTGTTCTCTATGGCAGTCTCCATGTGTGGTCCAGGGGGCCCTGGTGTAACTGCCCGGAGATCATCGCTACCACCCTCGAACTCGCGACGGCGTGGCAAACCCCCAGAGTGGGAGCCGGCAACCGGCTGCCCGGACAGAGGGAGTATCTCTGCTGCAGCGAGCTTTCAAATGCCGACCCCTGCGTAAACAGGCAAATCTACGACGAACTGTGGTCTGGCAAACCGGGTCCAACGGATGGAGAAGTAAAGGGTCGGACAAGTTGACGCCTGCAGGGTCCAAAGGTCAAGAGATTTGGTCCCAGCGTCTGACGTTCCCGAGTCGGGGTTAGGACATGATGGCTATCCCAAGCGCTTGTGTCGCTCTGCCCTCCACCCAACCTTCAAAATAACCCTTCCCCCGTGCTGCCACTCACCGTTGCATGCGTTAGCTTCCTACTTGCCCGCCATCGCGACTAGTGCGGTTGGTGAAGTTCCGACGAGAGCAGCGGTCAATGGGTCACGTTCCTCATATTGGCTGCCCTGCCCCAACATTTTGCCAAAAGCTTGTCAATTTTCTCCTCCACCTCTCGATCACACCCCTACCGCCGGGGATGAAGGTGGAACAGCAACACCAGAGAATCCACCGTGACCGTCGACGTCCGATGAAAAGCGAGACATAGCATTACGATGGCGGGAACACTTATACCCCCGTGGTATGTCGGCTCGACACCAACAAACGATGAACAGAACATAGCGAGCATGTTTTGGGGGTTCACGCTTGGAGTCGGCCTATGGAGCGGAGTCAAGGGCTATCGACAAAGTAGGGCCAGTTGGAACAGGACACACAGAGTCAACATCTACATATGGTTGATTTGGGCGGAATGGATCGCCAGTATAGTCATCGGCATCATATCCTGGTGCTACTTGACATCCATCATTGATCCAAGGTAGGCTTCTCTCCTTCTTCTGAGTAATCCCCGCATCTAATTTCGAGTAGCTTTGAATACTTCTTTTTCCTACGTAAGTATCGTGAAACGTCAATTCGCATGCCTTTTCACACACTAACGGCAATCGATTGAAGTCGTATTGTGGACGATCCAGGTAAATTTCCAGCAGGTTCCTAACCATCATTCACTGTGGACATTAGCTGATCAGTGCTTCATCAGGTACAATGTCTCATGCAAATCATCGTCAACCGAATCGCAATTTTGATGCCGATACCTGCACAAGCCACAAGACTGAAATGGGGAGTCTTTGGCATCCTTTTGGCGGTCAACATCAGCGTCTTCTGTATCTGGATTCCAGCTCGACTGCAGATCAACGAGACTTACATTCACATCAACGAGATCTGGGACAGGATAGAAAAGGGCATCTTTCTTCTTGTGGATGCTGGACTGAACCTCACCTTCATCTATTTGGTCAAGTCGCGGCTGATTGCTAGCGGCTTGACCAAGTACACGGCGCTCTTCAGATTCAATCTAGCCATGATTGCAGTCTCAATGTCACTTGATGTAGGTTTGATCGTTTTCCGACTGCATTTGATCTGGTGGCTTACCATTCACACTGTAGGTCATCCTCATTGGACTCATGTCCCTGCCGAATACTTTGATGTATGTGATGCTGACTCTTGTGGGCTCGTGTCATCGCTAACAGCCACAGCTATGCCCAGTTCCACCCGCTAGCCTATCTACTCAAACTACATATCGAGATGGGCATGGCAGATCTGATTGCAAAGGTCGTCAAGGCCTCAAACCCCATGCGCCCACACGCCGAAACGAGGAGAGACAGCAACGAAGGAGCGCCAGACGCGAACAAGAACTCATTGTCAAAGTCGAGATCCAGACGATTCTCGATGCCCTACGTAGCTGGCAGGTGGATGTTGAGCTCGGAGAATGTGCAGCCCAAAAGAAACACCACAGGGCCAGAACTCGAGCTCGGTGTACAGGCCAATACATTCTCAGGAAGAGCGACAGAGCCAGAAACTACGCCCCGCCCTCGTTCGCTCTCTCGTCACATAACTGAACCGAATGGTATACCTGGGCTGGGTATGACTCCACAGTCAAAGACTAGTCGCCAGGATTCTAGTAGTACTGTGAGGGAGCAGGACCAGGATGTTGCGTGGTATGTTTAATTGAAAAGCCCGGAATAACATGATACCCAGGGAGTTCAAGGAATCAAAAAGACGGCGGTCATGCGGATTAGAGCATTTAGCGGAGTAGGAGCATTGTCACACAACTGTGAAAGCGATTTATCTTTATCAACAAAAGTAATTTATGTAGAAAACTCAAGGCTTCTTACCGAGTACTCTTCACAACTTGAGACTTGGAATGTTTATGCATGCTTTTTCTTTCATTTATGACCTGTCAAATGATTAGGACTTCTCCATCGTTCGCTCCTTGAGGAGAAATCCAGGAGATATGTGCCCCCTTGCTCAGAGCAGGAACCTCCACCAAGTACATCATCTGTCTTTCTTTTGCGTATGCGAAATTACTTCAGTTGGTAGGTGAAAAGTCGAATTTCAAAAGATGCTGGAAATATGTTTCGCGCTGGTGGCAATTCTCCTCATATCATTGCGAGTCGCGATGGGCGCCCTGCAAGGCTTTCACTGCCAAAGCAGTAATGGCCCCTTCGCTTCCAATTAGAATCCCAGAAAACCCATACCGGTATAAGTATCCCATCCAGCTGCCATCACTTCTCTGCAAGTCCAGTAGGACCCTTCTGTCCAATGTGTTAGTCAGGCGCATGTTATTCGATGCAAGCAGACGAAGCCCGACACTTGACGCATCGTTTGTAGATCCCATGCGGTCTCTCAACCGCTGACAGAGTAGATCGCGCAATATGTCAAGCTCACTGGCATTAGGATTCTTGGAACACAATTCACTGAGATAGTAGAGCAGGAAGTCTGGTAGGTGGTAGTAGCGAGTTCCATGCTCGAAAGCGCCTGTGCGGAGCATATCCTCCATGAAGTGTAGCGCGGGCTGAAGTTGATTGCCTCGTCCACTGGCGTAGAAAACTCGCAGTACATTGGCTGAGATAAAAGGATCAAGCCTCGGCCTGCCTGGGTCGAAGTAACACTGCACAGAATCAACTCTTAGTTGGTTTCAAGAGTGCATCCAAGGGGAGCAACCTACATATGCTAATCCATCTGGATTCAAAAATTGGAGAATATTATCCATAGCCTTGTGCTTGACATCAACATCAACATCAAGCGTGAGAAGAGCGATAGAGGTAGTGTCGAGGTCATCAGGAAAGACTTCCGTTGTCAGCACTGGAGGCCCGTAAGGAAAGCAGTTCCATTGGCCTGAAGGAGGATTGAGTTGGGCGATATCGACAAGTCCCCTAGGAAACATGGAGTAGTTAGTATTCCAGGCGAACTTATTGTCCGGGGTGACTTCGTACCAGTCGTTCGTCCAATGCAACAAAAGAAGCTGCTGGAACTGCTCCCGAATCTCAATGCCAGTGTTGGATATACACCACATGCCCTTTGCGTGAGCTCGAAGCCAGGATTTACCACGCTCAACGGGATCACCAAAAAGGCTGTTCAGCTTTTGGATCACTCTGTCCGTATTGTCAAATAAGACCCCTTGCATCCCGCTACATTGGGCGCAGATGACATTCTCCGGTCGATCGTCGACAAACACAGTTGATTTTGCATTCAAGCCTGCATCTTTGAGAGCTCGATCAAAAAAGCCTTGCTCCGGCTTTCGTACACCCAGGCTGGCTGACGTGTAGACATCATCAAAGATGTCCCAGCCTCCAATCTTGGAGCGAACTATGTTAAAGCTTTCGGTAGACATATTGGTTGCAGCAATCACGCGGAGTTGGCCGTCGGAGTTCTCTTTGAGGTTCCTGACGGCTGCAACAAAGTCTTGGTTGAGTGTCAAGGTCGACGATGCCAGCTGGATGGTATGTTGCAAGGCACCGTCCGCAAGGGCGAACCTCTTCGTCAAGGCTCTGAACACCTCTGATTGCGTCGCCTTGCCTGCCTCCAAGCTGTGCCATTCGGATGATTCAAGGATGCGCTTGAACACCTTTGTTGGAATTGGAGCATCTGGGACGGCGGAGAAGTTGCAGAAAACTCCGCCAATGTCCAGTATCAACGCAGTAGGTCTTCCATTTACACTACCCTGCTAGCACAATGATTACGAAATTAGCGCGCTACTCTCAAGATATCCCGCCACGTTACGCATTTTGGTCATACCTCGGGTGTGCCGTGATAGCTCTGGAAAATTGGGGTGGGCGATGAGTGATGCAACTTAGCCATGGTGAGAAGTATAACGAAAAGAAGAAGTGCTTGGTAAAGGAAATTTGGTGTTCTCGACAAAGATGAGAGGTCTCAACAAAGAGCAGACCTACCCTGGCAGCAGTATCATTGAAGTATATATATTCTTTGCCATAAATTGCCCACTCTAAAGACAAGACATTGCGACTTCGGAGGCAAGTTTAAAGCTTGAGTATCGTTCGTTGGGATCAGACAATTGATCGAGATGACCCGGGTAATTACTTCGAAGATTTGGAGGATCTTGCCAAAAGGTCCTGCATAGCTTCCTTCAATAAACCCCTGTTAAAGGCTCTTCATGGAGCTGACGAGACACTACTAGCGATCTTCGCTCAACCCCCGCGCCAAGTCGAAGATCTAACGTAAGCGTAAGTTCAATCCTACGTGAACTCTGACATGATGTGGGTTCAAGACACAACGGTCTGGCTTCTCTCAGTTCATTAGCTGAAGATACGAGGAATAGGAAGCTAAATCAGACATCCATGCTACACCTGTTACAAGGGGTCAATCAATAATGCCATTCTGAGTGATTAGGAATTTAATACACAAGTTTTCAGCAAACAGCTTACCTGTTTATAGACAACATTGACTCTCAGGATGTATCGGAGAGGCTGGCAGTTGGCCAGGTGGAGTTCACAGAGCAACCCACTGCTTACTCGGTATCGGACGATCATGCATTGAGCGTTCTCTTTAGCTGGAACATCTCAGAAAACAACCTATGAGATGCCCAGGTAAGAAGGACGAAGTAAATTGTGTATTCAATGACAAAAGAAGGTTCACCTCAGTTCACAGAAAAGTCCATGCCGTATATCTGTTTGATCGGTACTTAGTAAGTATAAAGCAAGTCAATACGTTGAAACATGAAATTACAACCAGCCTTATATAATCTCTCCTTAAGTACACATCGGACCAGAAAGTATTAAGAGTAAGCACGGCAAAGCAGGAACGTAGCGTCAGATTCAGGGGGACTAAGCCTATCCTCCAAGGCCAAGGGGATGAACATAGTCTCCAGGTTCTCACCGTCTCACAGCTAACATGAAGGCTTTGTCTTCGTAGCAGACATAGTACTTCAGTGAAGTAGTCCCTTGGTCAGTTTTCAAGTTGAATTCGTCATTTGAGATGCCGAGGACACAAGGTGGAAACTACAACAGCGGCCTTCTCGGCGTTTTCAAAGTCCAGGTAGGTTGCACCTAGGCATGTTGTATGCATGCCCTTTCAACTCGTACATTCCCTCCCAGAAAGCAATCAGATTGAATCAATTCAGCAAGACTTGACCACTATGATCTCTCAGCTTGTAAGATGTCGGTCACATCGGCCAATAATTCCCAACTCTGGTCATCAAACTCCGCAATGCCCTCTTCCCTCGTGGACCAGCTGCGCGACATGCTGAATTGTGACCCCTCGAGAATGGATTGAATTTCATGACCTGCTAGTGGCCCAACCATCTCAAGTCCAGTGAGAAAGCTGTAGTCATCTACAGACTCTTGTGCCACAGGCGTTCCCGATACCAAGGCACTTTCGCCTACATGGGCAAGATCGACTGTTTGTTGGTCCTGCTCACTCGTGTCATAGCTTTGAGTTTTAGTACCTGATTCTGAAGTTGGGGTCCTCTCCGGAGCTGATGACGCCTCGTAACGATTACGACTCGACCGAGACAGACTCGCCGCGATTTGTACCCGGCAAGACGCCAGCAGCTCTTCCACCACAGATTCCAATGTCTCGGCCAGGAAGCTCTCAAGCTCCCCTTCATCGTCTGAACCGTTTGGCTCTGGTATGAGTCCTCGCTCCCGCAGAGCATCAGAGACCAGAGCCTTTCCGTTCGCATCCCAGAAGTCATGGATCATGACCATAGACTCCTCGATTTGGTTTCCCAAGTATGCTGACTCTGGACGTGGCATGTCAGGGAACACGATATCCCAGACACTGAACCATTGCTGCTCCTCGGATAATCGTCTGTCTACCTTCCGAGTGAGCTGTCGGCTTTGATCTTCGGATAGTCCCTCATAGTTGACTTGATCTTGTAGAGAGCAGCCGCGTTGAGAAATGTGGATGTCTCGGTCGGTTGGCTGGTCGAAGATTATCCAGCATGTTGGACAGTAATACGACGGTTGACGGTGTTTTCGATTGAGGTGCTGCTTGACGTCTTTGATTCTTTTAAGTTCGATTCTGAGGCACTGAAGATGCTTCAAAGGATCCTCCTTATAGAAGGGGCAAGCAAGAATGATGCTTCTGCTCTTATTGGACGGAGTCATCGTCGAGCCGCTCACAATATTTGCGTTGGAATCTTCACCCTCCTCATTTCCTCCATTACCCTCATTGTCGTTCTTGTCGTTTGGCTTGTCATATTTCCTAGATCTCTTGCTTGATCGCTGGGTTTGTGTTGCCGGAGGATTTGCTGTTCGCTTATTCGAATTCTGGGGGCAGGTTTGCCATTCCAAGAAGTTGCTAAGACAGTCTTCTACTAGCAGCTTTTCGATCGACCGAAACCGATGGTCTGACGGCAAAGCATATATAGGCGCTACTTCTGAGGTTTCAGAAGGCGATGAGCTCTTGTCTTCACTTTCATCGGCGATCGGTGGAAAGGAAAGCTCCTGATCAGTATATCGTAGTGGGGAGATGTTGCAAGGCTTGGGTGTTTTGGAAGAAGACAGGTACAGGTATGCTAGGTCTGAGAATGGACTGGAGCGCGATAGTAACTCGTTTTCGTACTTGCGGGATGAAGATTTCTCTGTAGGAGCAAGCTGTCCCTCATCACATGCTCTTTTTTCCAGATCCTCAAGCCTTCTCTTCAGCTTCTTCCCTATATGTTTGTTAATACATGGCTTACTCTTCCAATGACTGATTAACTTCTTTAATCTACTTACTGTAGTTCCTTTGAGCTATTCGGTTTTGTATTCTTCGGCGCTCTGCCAGATCTGAAATCTTTGTCCAATCTTCTTCGCCTTTCATGACCCTGCTCGCCTTGTCCAACTCTTCTTCATCGGTCTCTCCCAGAGGGTTCCGCGGACGAAGTGGGAGCGCTGAGCTCCGCGCCTGGAAGCTGCCCTGTTGAGAGGCACTAGCCCGATCGTCAGAGAGAGCAGCTAGCATGTCGACCTTGTTGTTGTGTTCTTAGACTCTGGGCCCTTCGTATGACATTCGCGTCTTCGGCGTAGCATATAAAGTCGATCTCTAGTCCAACGAGGAGCGATTGTGAGTCTTTGTTCTCAACGAAAATGCAGCCTGATTTCTCGACGAAAAGCACGAATGTGCCCTTGGGTCTTATTAGTGGCCACTGCACAGCCACACATATGCAGCAACGTAGCAGATTTGCTCCAATCGCTGGGTGGTAGGTAACTGTCGATGACCAATGAACAGCAATAACGGTGAGCCTGCATGTAGAAACGTCTGCATGTAGAGTATGGTAGGGTACGTGATTTATGAAGGCGTTCATCCCATGACATGCTCTTCGAAGACAGGTCTGTAATTACCCACAGAACAAATATTCAGTCATTAAGTGGTACGCTCAGTATTTCTACATACGTCGGCCCTATTGCACGGTAACTTATGTACATTATTCTAAATCTCCTTTCCTTGCATTTATTTATTCAGACGAGGAGCTCTCTCGGGATCTCTCCAGTAAAGACACGCCTCTCTGCGAATATCATCCTTCTCAACCTTGGTTCCATTATTAGGCTGGACGATAAGCTGCAACGCAGGCTCCGACTCAAGTCCGTACCCAGTGGGCTTATACTGAGGCCACTCGGGGCTGCCAGGGTACCTGAAAGTGTTGGGATCGCCGGACAGAACGAAGCTGGACAGATATCCGTGGTAAATGTGGCTGACCTCGGGGTACTGTACCACCGGCTCGTCCCAAGTGTACTTGGTGTCGGCGGTATGCGGGATACCCCTCCACGCAGGCCACGAGTTGTTGGTGTTGAAGTGCAACTTCCACGTCGGCACGCCCGCGATCGAAGCGCGGTACGCCGTCTCCTGTCCAGCGCAGATGTATGCGTAATCGCTCCATGCCGCCGAGAGGCGGTTGTACTGGGTGCTGTTGGGGGAGTTGGCAAAGGGCGAATCCGGGTGTGTGGCGGGATCCGGGTAGAGGTCCTCGAGGAGCTGGAGGTCGGTGCTGTTGAGAGCGGGGGAGATATTGTGGAGGTAGTCGAGGAACTCCTGGTTAGTCTCCTTGTCGCCGGCCATGTAGTACTTGGCCTCGTCGTTCACGTTGGAGGTGATGACAGGGACTTTGAAGAATGTGCCGTCGTAGCCGGACTGCGAGCCAAACTTCTCCAGCAACGGTCCGCCCTGCGTAGGCTGGAAGGGCCAAGTCAGAGCCGGGTCGTAGTCGTTGTAGAGCTTGGTGCTGATGTTGCGGATCGCGTCGATGTCCGCGGCACGGAGGCAGGCCAGAGTCGCAGCGTTGTCGGCATCAAGCGGGCAGGAGAGGTAGTTCATGTACTCCTCATACTGCTTAATGTAGAGCGGGTATGTGGCATTGGGGAACGCACGAGCGGTAACGGCACCGGACTGGTGGATTGCTCTGGCGAAGAGTGGTTTGCCCTCATCCTCGTTGTAGTTATGGAAGTAGAGGATACCGACGGAGTGACCGCCAGCAGAGCGCCCACCGATGGTGACAGCCTCCGGGTCGCCGCCGAACGCGGCGATGTGCTTCTGCACGAACTGGAGGAAGAAGTGCTGGTCGCGCATGCCGAGGTTCAGCAGACCCTCCTCATCGAAGAGTGCAGACGGCAGGAAGCCCAACGAGTTGATGCGGTAGTGGAAGTTGACGACCGTGATGGGCTCCTTTGACGACGCGGCAAACGCAGCGCCATCGAAGCTCTTGTAGCTACCCGCGTAGAACGCGCCGCCATGAATCCAGACCAGGACGGGCGTCTTCTGGTCAAGCGGGATGCCGCGCGTACGGTAGACGTTGAAATTGAGGCAGGCCTCATCTTGTGTGCTGACGTCGGTCGAGGTCGGGTCCTGGACGCAGGTCTTGCCGTACTTTGTCGCCGCCTTGGTGCCGTTGAAAGACGCAGGCCAGGTGACGGGGTTGAAGCGGCCTTCGCCGACCGGTTGTGTTGAGTAGTCGATGCCGAGCCAGGCGTCCACGGGGGCGGGGAGAGCGCGTCCGCTATAGGTCGAGTTGACGACGGTGCCGGTGAACTTGCCGTAGCCCTTGAGTTCAACCGGATTGTACGCGGTGGCAGGCGAGATTGCTACCTGCGACGCCGCGAAGAGCGTGTTGAAGGACGTTGAGAACTTCATGTTTGGCGACGTGCTCAATCCCTCGTCTCCGAATGGGGCTGCTGCTGCTGCTTGAGCACAAGGAAAGATGGTAGCAAGAGAGCACACCACCGCTAAGAGGCAGGGCCGGCCATCGCAGAGCTTTAAACGCATTTTCGAATCCCCTCGTCGGTGTTTTGCCCCTCCTTTCTCTCTTTGCTATCGAGTAAACAATTTCCCAGCGACCCGCCCAGAAAGCAACCTCTCGCCGCTCGACAGAGACGGCGTTAACCCATTCGAAGCATTGTTCAGTGAAGATGAGAGGTTTAACAGAGCTAGAACCCTTGACTCAGGTACCCGCGGAGCCCTCAGTGCGGAGAAGTCCCGAGCGACTGGGGCAATGAGCACGCTAGAATGGCGCAGATCGATGTCATTCAACGAGGGAAAAACATGTCGGGGTCGCTCCGATATCGTCGGCCTTTACATCTGGGGTCCGGGATCCCTGGGGTTTTCTCAGTGAATTCAGTGTAAGCAGCCAGTTGAAAGTGATTTAATGTGATAAGACGCGTGAATGACTAAATCAGCTAACGAAACATTCACCTATGGGCCCCGCAACGTTATCCTTGATTGATGGGCCCAACCTCCCCGTTCAAGATGCTGGTCAACGACACAGTTGGAGAGCTTCAGCTGGAGTTTGTGGGGTCGAAGAAGGCTGTGTTGTTGAGAGAGAATAGGAGACAGGACATGATAACATCGTCTTGATACGAGAAACTTCCGTCACCCGATCCCATCTTCCGCGATCCGAGATCTGTTATCACTGTTCTCGTGGGTTGAGGAAGCCACGCACACTCTTGAGTTCAGCTAGCTATCGCTGCGATCGAACTTGGGCTCAGGAACGAACATCTACCAGCATGGCCGTGCGCTAAAAGAAAATCGTCAATAGGTCTCTATTATTGGCCAATTCGTTATTTCGTGTCTTCAGACTAAAACCATGTCCAGAAGTCTGGTCCATCTAGCCCGTCATTTCATCATCCTCGTCATCATCTTGTCCCAGCCCAGCCTCAATAAACGCCGCCCGAGTTCTCTCGACGGCCTGAATAAATTCTTCTCTACGAAAAGCATTGGGCCATCCGTGTTCAACGTACAGCCGTCTGATCTCCTGTACAACACGAGGAAATGCTTTGATCAGTCACGAGTTTACATTTCCTGTTGCAGATGAACTCACCTGGCCTTCCTCGGTATACTCCTCGACAACTCTCGCCTCCCACTTCCCAGAGCGGGGCGCTGGCACAACATCCAAGTTGCCGACCTGGGCATAGATCTTGTCAAAGTAAGCCTGGATGGGGACCGGGTCCACAACAAGCCACTGCTTGTCCGCGGGAACATCCTCCTCGCGTTTGTCGAACTCGGTCCCGTAAGGGTAGATGCATCCTGTGATGGCCTATGCGTCAGCTTCACAGAGCACTTTTGAACCAAAACAGCTCTGCGCATAGTCCAGCTAACCTTGATTCGTATCGATCAACCACCAAATTCCCTCGTCCGCATGCGTCAACGAGACCATGTCCGCCGGCACGGGCCCATCAAACGGCGCAAAGCCAAGGTCCAAGAGCGCCGTGTTGGCAAACACTTCCGCGCCGTCGCCGTGAATCCCATTGGCGCCGCCGAACCACCGCCCGTCTCGCAGATACCGCAGCGGGAACGTCTCGGTATAAATCTCGACGGGGTCCGACTCTTCGTTCTCGTGGACGAAGGGGATGTGCCGCAGGAGATCAATGACGGTCTCGGAGCGGCCCATGGCCCGGAGAGCATCCACGCGGAGCTCCGTGTCGCTCCAGCCGGCGGCGGGAGGGAGTTCGACGGCTGAAACGTCCAAGTAGCCCATGCGCACCAGCAGCTCGTAGTGCCGCTTGAGGCAGTTGACGACGACGTCGCGATCGTAGCTAGTCATTTTTTTCGAGTCTTGCTTATTCTGCTTTTGCTGAAGATATGAGGCCGATGCAATAAGCAGACGATGAGGAGTTGGAGAGCCTTGCAGATGAGATTTTCACTGAGCGGTCCCTGTGTGGGGCATATCATTCGAGGCCCAAATGGACTGGTCCCTCACTGAGCCAATGACTGGATTCGGCGATTATGTTTGATCCTGTCTACATGGTGTTTTGGCAAATCTCCTCGAGCAATTCTTCATGTTTTGCCTACACAAATTGAGTTTCATCATGACAACTACATTGTACTTTTTATCTCAACTGCGCAGAAAGTGGGCTTCCGGCTGTACCACGACGAGAAGAGGGACATGAGTAATGCCTGCAGGCTTGTTCTTTGGGTAAAGAGAGGGAGCTGAAGGCGAACATATTTGAAAAAGACCCGAACCTTCACCAGTCCACGCAACCAGCAAAGACCCGATCGCCGGGTATGAAGATGACATTACCCACACTGAATGTGACTTACTTCGGGCTTCTCGTATTTTCCAGGCTGTGACAGAAGGGTGGATGCGAAATTCTGTTCCCTCGTAATTGCACTTGCCCAGACACTTCAAAGGGTCATGGAGTTTACCTCTTCATTTCACATTACTTATTCACAGCTCATTAGCTCGAAGACACATTGTAGTTAAATTTACCCCTTCCCATTTGCGACACCGTTATCAAAGTCCGTATAACCAACTTTTATACTCTCGGCGGCACCTCTCATGACCTCATTCAATTTGAATCAGCCAGTGGCTCCACAGGAACTCAGCCGAACTATAATATGATAATGAGAGTGAAGTCGCGTTGATAGGAAGGCATTCGTATTGATCATGAGTTTTCCTCCTTCGGTTTCGTTTTACGGGTGGTGTCGTGAGTCGAGTCGCGAATATGAGTCACCCTCAATCGCAAGCTATCACAGAGCTGCAGCGCTGATATTTAATGCACTGCAGTTACTAATAGCGGATATTTAATCCGCCGATTTTAGCACCTCACATATCTCTCACATCATTGCTGCAGCATACCACACCATCACACACAAATGTCTCAAAAAGGCACTCTACTTTACATCACATAGACAGGTATTGAGACTCATCAGTTATAATGGCAACGATACACACCTCCGTCCCGGAAGGTCTCATCCCTCTCCTGGAATTTCACCTCCCAAATTCCCTCGTCCTCCTCCGCCGCCTCCAGTTCACCCGCTTCAAGGACGGCATGCGCCCAACAGCCCGCATCATCCTAGCATCAGACGCACCACTCTCTTCGACTACCTCACAAGGAGAAAATGGCATGGCCTCTGACGAACAGCCGCGCAACTTCTGCGCAGCATACCTCGACTTCGGCAGTACCAAAGAAACCCAACTCTTCATGTTCTCAACACTCGAAGACGCCCCCAACAAAACTTTCACGGATGAGGACAAGGAAACAGCTGAAAACCAAATCGCAGCAGTCCTCAATGCTGTAACACAAGTAAGCAAACAACAACCAGACAACAGAACGCTCCCTGGTGCGTGCCTCGTCGGAACCCTCGCCACACCCACGCGGGACGCCATGCTCCGGGCCGGCGTGCGCGTGACACCTCGCCAGGACTATGAGTACGAGAAATGGCTGTTCCGCGTCGATGACATTCCGGATTTCGAGGGCCGTGTGACGCTGCCCGAGGGAGCTACGTGGGGTCCGGCTACGGAGAGGGATTGTGAGATTGTGATTTCCAGGACGGACATTCCGCGTCAAGTGTGAGTCGTCATCGTCCTCCCTGTTTATTTGTCAAGTTAATTTCGAACTTTCCAATGATGAACACAACGGCTGACAAATAGATAGAAAGACGTTGATGTCGTGGCCAAGTTTGTTTCTCAAACTAGAGGATGGAACGCCTATCGCATGGTCATTCCTCGGTGAGTATTCAATGTGTTCTAGATACACAAGGCCTCTTACATCTATCGCTCCCGCCACGATCTGTTTACCTACATCAACCACCGATCCTCGACAGCATCACAACTCTCTAACTCCTGCTTAGGCACCGATGCATCGTTATCAAGTCTCCACTGCGAGGTAAGTTATGCAAAATATCGACCCAAACCCAACACGAAGAGAATACTTCGATACTCTGCAATCATGGTCTTTCAATCTAACACACAACCCCGCTCAGCCACCCTACCGACAGAGAGGCTACGCAAAGGCTCTGGCATCGAAGTTGATCAAGAGAGGTACGAGCGAGTACGGCGCCGATGGTTGGGCGTCCGCCGACGTGGCGCCGTATAATACGGGGAGCAAGAAAATGTGCCAGAGTCTCGGTGGGAGACATACCTGGAACGTTTCGTGGTGAGTCGTTATATTTTCCGCGTAGTAACAAGGTTTATCTAACAGTGAAGCGGCTAGGAATGTCATTCATCTTCACGAGGTATAGATGAAGATGTGAAAAACATCAATCTAGAAGTTTGCTTCATATTACCTATTACATAGTAGATGTACATATCAGCAACCTTATAAATTGCATTGATGTAGTCAAAGATTTACCTAGACAACCTGATTGGTAGACAAAAGCTGCGATTATTCCAAATGAGATCGAGCTTTTTTGCGCAGTGATAAGGCAGACATTATTCGCAAAATACTCAGTCAAGAGTTAGGGTGATGGGTAATAAAATATTATTTTTGCGTTTTCCCTTGATATGTCCTACTCCGAAAAGACTGCCAGCTCCAAGAATCAAGTCTTTTGGCTTTGTGCACCTCATTTCTTCACCAAATCTGCTCCGATCCCCGAGGAGCTCCCGCATTCCATTGAAAAAAACTCGAATCCTCAACTCCGGTACAATCCCGCCGGTGACAGCTGTTTGATAACCAATCTCTACCGCCACAACCTCTCAATCTTTCCTCCCTCGGAGATGCACGGTAGTGGGGTCCCCGGCTCGTTGACAGCTCCAGGTTCCCACTAAGCTAAACCGGATGAACGGTTGTGGTGGGGTGGCATGTCTCGGTCAGAACCTAAGAGTATTGCCAACCAACCCCATCCGGATCTGCAACGGGTGTGGAAGATGCCGCCCTCAACAAGAAAATTTTCCCCATGTCGCGATGGGCGCCATGCAGCGCGCGCACACAAACGGTAGCCGTCGAGAGCCGAGACTCCATCCGTGAGTCACCCGTGAGCAAACGCTCCGGTCCACCCCTCCTCATCCCATCTCGCCCGTTCCGTTCAACCCCGCACTGGGACAGCGTATAGCTTCCCAGGGTAGGTCGGTCGATCGGTCAGTCGCGCTTAGAAGTCGGCACCGGGGAGGTGGTAGAGCTTCTGAACGTCGTGCAGCATCTTCTCGTGATCAATCTCCAGGTCCTTGAGGAGACCGTCGTTGAAGCCAAAGACCCAGCCGTGGACAATGGGGAACTTGTTCTTGGCGTACGACTGCTGGATAGCGGCCGTCTTGATGACGTTGCGGCACTGCTCGAGAACGTTGAGCTCGACGAGTCGATCGTAGCGAGCATCCTCCTCCTTGATGGCGTCGAGCTCGGCCTCGTGCAGGCGGTAGACGTCGCGGATGTTACGCAGCCAGGGGTTGAGCAGGCCGAGATCCTTGGGTGTCATGGCGGCCTTAACACCTCCGCATCCGTAGTGGCCGCAGACGACGATGTGCTTGACCTTGAGGTGGCGGACGGCATAGTTAATGACACTCATGACGTTGAGGTCAATGTTATTGACCATGTTGGCGATGTTGCGGTGGATGAAGGCTTCACCGGGCTCGAGGCCGGTGATTTGCTCGGCGGGGATGCGCGAATCGCTGCATCCGATCCAGAGGTACTCGGGAGCTTGGCCCTGGGACAGGCTGATGAAGAAGTTGGGATCCTGCTTCTTCTTCTCCTCGGCCCATTTGCGGTTGTTCTCGAAGACGCGGTCGTGCGTCTGCTTGAGGTACTTCTCAATGTCGCTTTCAGCCATCTTGCGGTCGGGTCTGATAGAAGGAGGGGTAGACGATGACGATGACGATGATGGTGGTGCGCGTTGATAGGCGATGTGGGAGAAGCTGGAGGTACGGTGGCTGTTTAGGTGTTGATGCTGAGATCCAAAGATGGTGTTGGTGAATCTGAGAAGACGACGTGAAGGTTGCGCAGGGGAGGAGAAGAGGCGGAAAGGGAGGGAGCGCGGGAATGGGCTTGCTTTAAACATTAGAGGAGATTTATTTATGGAAAGATCGAGAGAGAAAGAGTGCGGTGCGAAGCTAATGGAGGAGTCCTAATGGAGGATGTAGCTCGGTGTTTGCTGCAGGTAAGCGGACCTTTGAGCTGGCGGGCGGGCGTGGAGGTTGTCAGATCGGAGCAATGGCAGCCAAGGAAACCCAAGATGAAGGAAATGTCGCACCTTTCCTTCTTCCCACGGAAGATTTGTTGGGAAGCTCCGGCGATCGCGCACCGTTGGCGGCTGCACGCGCTACCGCTAGTTAACAGAGGAACCACAGAGACCACAGAGGAACCACAAAGACGTCACTGCGCGCACCTCAGCGTTCAGGACGGTGTCGCGGACGGTGCGTGGACGGTGCGGCCTCCTTCTCGATAGTCCGGCGCTCCGGGCGGGTTGTTGGGGGGACGGGCGGGCTAATTGCTGTTCAACTTGGGTCAAGATCATCGTGGATGGGGGACCTCAGCCACGGTGGATGACTCAATTCCTCATTAGACATACAGTGCAACATGGAAAAGAGCCGGGGGAGAAATGTCAATGCCGGCAGATGCGATAGTAATCTTGGCGAAACGGATGAGCAAAGGTTGATCTAGCTTCTAATTGCCCATGTACCCAGTCAAAGGCAAGGAGCAACGGGACGGGAATGATCGATCTCAGGTGGCTAGATCTGATTGATTATCTTCCACTTATCCTCGAGTGCCTTATGATGGGATGCAGAGCAGCGATGATCCCACCAGACTATAGAGCAATGGCCACACAAGTTTCAACCATCTCGACCGCTAAGTTTCAACTGCCACTCTCGATCTCTTGGCTTATAGCACCCGACGGGATATTATCCAGTCTTTACTCCAGCCAAGACGGTCAATTGTCCTTACCTAGGCTGGCCTCGATCGAGTGTTTGAGCTACAATTGGCATGTGCAAATACCTGGTCATCTTTCGAGTTTACCTGAGGTAGATAGAAAAACAAACACTCGCAGGCTACTTCCCGGCTAACCAAGCCTAGCCGTGCATCAGTGCGGCACGATCCCGAAACCCCGGCACAACGGCCCCCGAAGAATGCCCGGAGTGTCTCCACAAATCCCGATGACCCGGCACCAAACGCCACCGGCCGTTGCCTCCCTTGGCCCGGTCGCCAAACCGTTCCATCTGAAGCACCAAGTCGCTTCGCCAGAGAAATCCCATCAAAGTGCCGAACCTTGCAGGTGATACCCCTCCATTACCTCAAAACTCAACGGGTCGCCGCGGACGTGTGAACGAGCGCATCAAGGGGACCCAGCGGGGTGTGCAAGCGCCAGGACCTCCATGGGCACAGTGCCGACTCATGTTGCCATCCTCCCTTCATCACTCAAATCCCTCTGAGCAGCTCAAGCCCCAACGGTCCCCGGGCTCTGGACCATCACGACGGCACGCAACCAACACGCCCAAGGGTCACGCCAGCAGAGCCACTCTGCGCACCTAGTCTGATCACTCAGTCCAGTGAGAAACGAGACTGCTTCTCGCTCTTGAAACCGGAACCAGGGGGGAACCCCTGCATTGTCAGTGTGCCGGCGCCGGTAAGCTTGTTACCTTTCTCGGCCGACGCCACCACTGGTTCGTCTTGTCATCCACCAAGAGCCTCACAGAGCTACGGGCACATCCCTCGATCCTAGGCGGGTATTAGTAGCTATCACGATGAAAGACAGCAGCATGTACGGCAGCCAAAGAACCACCATCGAGCCATTAAGAACCCAAAAGATGTCCACTGCCTAGAGTGACAGAACATTGAAGATGAAGTACTTCACCTTACTCGCAGTACAGTTGCCACGAAGTTTCCTGGTTGCATTGCAGGTCGCTCAGGTTGAAGGCAAACTCATCACCGTTTCAAGACGTGGAAACAAGGCGTCCCGTGAGCGCAAGTCACGCATGATAAGCAGTCGTCGCATTCTCGCATACCAGTGTCCAGTGCTGATTCCTGATACATAACCATGGCAATCCCTCACTTCCGCTCCCTAACTCTGACTTGCTCCTCGAGTGAATCTTCATTTCCTTCATAGATGCCACCAGTTGGTACATTGTAATACAACCTTCGTTCTGGTAAACGAGTCTTTTCTCTGGTATACGAACAAAGTCATGGTCGCTTTGGACTACTCAAGAGGCCTCGGCCTGGCCGCCACAGTCTTGGCTCTGTCACAAGCAGTCAACGCCGCCATCCTTCCTCGGCAGAGCAATGATGCCCTTCGACCTTGGGTGACGGTCCAAGCCGACGGCGCAGCCAAGACCATTACCCCGACCGTCAACGATGGCAAGACCACGTCCGCCTTTACTGGCAGCTCTACTCTCCCCACGGCCGATGCCAACGGCGCCGGATCATTCCTTTCATGCAACCAGGCTGCGGGAGCCAACGGCGTCAACCAGCCCTTTTGCTCTCCCAAGGCCGATACTAAGGTTGATGGAGGCAAGACCTACTGGAGTAAGCAAATCCTTCACGAAGAGTATTCGACTTGCGAACAAACACTAACACGAAATCTAGTAACATGGGACACGAGCCTCTTCCCCTTGCCCAACACAATGGTCCAGGTCCAAGGTGACTACGGCGTCACAAACGCCATCGACCCAGGCCACGGCTTCACCTCCCAGATGCTCCCCGCATCCCAAGGCCACTTCGCCTGGGCAGCGGTAGGCTACAACATGGCCGCCAACGAATCCCTCACCGTCCAAATCTTCCTCGCGCTCCCGCAGACCAATGGCTCCATCACCGCCCGTCACCCAGGAGCCAAAGTCAGCATCGTCAACCGGCCACAAAACGACAACAACAACCAGAGACGCCGTGGACCCAACGTGTTTGGCATCGTTCTCCCCATCGTCTTTGGCGTGCTTTCACTGGTCGGCATCGCCTGGTTCGTGTGGTGGTACGGCCGCAGAAAGGGCATGTTCTCATCCCGCGGCGGAGGCTACGGCGTTGGCAAGAGCCGTGGCCAGAGAACGGCTGACGTTAAGATTGGGCTTGGAGACAATGCGTTCTCGTCGCCTGATCGGGGCGTTGAGATGATGCCGCCCCCGCCTAGACCGCCTCCGCCTTCGTCTTCGGAGGGTAATGTCTTCCGCAATGAGATGAGCAGGCAAGAGAGGAACGAGAGGGCGCAGACCATGATGTGAGGCTATAATTGTTGTCACTAAAAGAATGACAGATACACAGATCGTACGGCTGTTAGTCCTGTACACACTCGCTTAGTTCTGCTTGAGGTGTGGATGGGCGGCAAACCATACTTAATCCAATGTAATAATACCCATGGCGAAAAAGAACAACCAAATAATAAACCAAGAAAATCACTGGAGAGGTTCCTTAAAGCAGAACTTGTATTTCAAAGACATAATAGTGAGATGAGAGCCTGGCTTATCACGTATTGTCTTCAAATTCTGAATTCGAAGCCAGCGACAGAGGAATACTCCCTATCAAACGCTTTCCTGTTGCATCTTATGGTTGTGTCTCACAGGCAGGCATTAAACAGTCTTCACCACCAACGCCACAGAGCCAAGATGTACGAGAGCAATGCTTCAAGAGTTAAAGTACTTCCAAAAGTGATTCGATCACTCGTCTCATATGGAAAGCTCTAATGCAGAAAGCCGAGTTGGGCTATGGGAATCATCACCCAAATTGATACTTGAGATCTCACCGAGCCCTTTCCTCGGTGAACAATTCACCGAAGCCAAACGAGGACTAGCGCAGTTCTGAGGGTGGATACAATGGCGGGTTGGACGGTCCACTCAGAGGCTTCCAAAAACCTCTGGGATATGCTGATAAGCACAGACTATCTAAGGGTTTTCAAACCCCAATCACCCGGGAGGATCCACCCACCGGAAATTCTGACGGCGCATTTCGAATTGCGTGTGGCCTGCCGCGATCGACTTTGTGAACTTTTTCCTCTCGTCTTGACCCCGTCCGTTACAGCATCGACTAACCCGACCGTCAACCACCCATCGACAACAGTCAAGATGTCCGCCGCCCTGAACAAGATCGCTGCCAACAGCCCCTCGCGGGCCAACCCCTCCGAGCTGGAGCAGAACATTGCCCAGGCTCTGTACGACCTCGAGAGCAACACCGCCGACCTCAAGGTCGCCCTCCGCCCTCTGCAGATCGTCTCTGCCCGCGAGGTGAGATTTACCTGAAGCGACAACCCCAAAGTCCTGAAGACTTCCGAACCCGCGAATTCTCCGGAATCGAAAATCCTGTTCCCAGCCGCCACGGAAAGCCCAAGCATGAACAACCCCGAACATGGGCGACACCACCCAATTGACGAGCGCGATGCGAAGCAATGGAATCCCCGAAGCCTTTCTCTCGATTGAAACACATCAAGATTGAAGAGGACTCAAGGGAAAGAAGTTGCTGGCATTGGCATCGCGCGTTCCAGTCTTGGGAGGTGCCCATCGTTGGTGTCTTCGGCTTCACCGTGGCGGCGGAGATTTGAACGCTGAAAAGAATGATGATCTCAGGAACAGGACGGGAAGCGGTCCAAGGCATCGTCCTGGAGCTCGCATGCTGACTTGTGATCTTCCTATAGATCGAGGTCGGCCACGGCAAGAAGGCTATTGCCATCTTTGTCCCCGTTCCTTCCCTGCAGGGCTTCCACCGCGTCCAGCAGCGGTAAGTTTCTCCCTCTCTCTTCGCAGACCTTCTCTGTCCAATACTAAGACCATCCCCAGCCTCACCCGTGAGCTCGAGAAGAAGTTCTCCGACCGCCACGTCCTGATCCTGGCCTCCCGCCGCATCCTGCCCCGCCCCAAGCGCTCCGCCCGCTCCCGCAACAACCAGACCCAGAAGCGCCCCCGCTCCCGCACTCTCACCGCCGTCCACGACGCCATCCTCACCGACCTCGTCTACCCCGTCGAGATCGTCGGCAAGCGCCTCCGCACCAAGGAGGACGGCTCCAAGCTCCTCAAGGTCATCCTCGACGAGAAGGAACGCGGCGGTGTTGACTACCGCCTCGACACCTACTCCGAGGTCTACCGCAAGCTTACCGGCCGCGGTGTCACCTTCGAGTTCCCCCAGTCCGGCTCCGCCGAGTACTAGATTATCGTATCTAGTGTCTTGCGCATTGGGCGGGTGTTTGGTGAAAAATTAAAAAAGGAATCATGGTCAATGATGGGTTTGGCATTTAGTCTGCTGCAATGAAGGCATGGCAATGACTGGTTGATCAAAAGGGTCTGGCGTCTACAGGGATATAAACTTGGGCGATTCCATTACAGGCTGCCCAAAAAATGCATATACCAAAACACTTGACCGCTCCTTCTTAACTATTTGTTCCCGCCTCTCCGTGATTATGTTCACTGTGCTTGAAGCCATCGTCTAATATGTAAAGGAATTGGGGGTATCATTTTTCATTTGACATAAGTCTAGTCCTGGTTGATGCGTCCAACTCCCAAGACACACCAGTAGGCCAGCTCCCTCTTCTCCCTCGCCTCCTTCTCCCTGCTTGTCGCAGTACCGACATCGCCTTGAGCTTCCGTCTCCCACTCGATACGCACAAACATGGGTATCTCCAACACATCCTCATCCTCCCGCAAAGCACTGTCACCACCTGGCTGCTGCTCAAGCCTTAACGAAGCCGGCACGACCTCCAGCACGATGCTGACCCAATTGCGGCCGCGGTCGTAAATCTTGCCTACCTCAGCCTGCTGCATCCCGCCCTCTTCCCCTCTCCTGCGCTCCTTATCGCCGTCGTCCTTGAGGGCATCGTCCCACATGTCCGTGTTGGCATCAATCTCGAACTGCGGGCACAGCACCGTCACAGTGCTGGCGAACCGCCCAGGGGTGCTCGACGGTGTGGCCAGCGACACCTTCACCGTCTCGAAGATGGGGTTCTTGAAGGTCAGGAGATACTGCACGGGCTTGAGTGGCGTAAGCCACAGTTCCTGGGGTATCGGCGGCCGAGCGGTCGAGGGGAGGTTCTGGACCTCCGACTGCAGCGGTCGGATGGTGATTGTGGGGATGTAGCTGCCGGCCACGAGGCGGATGCGGAACCGGGTGTTGGAGATCTTTGCTTCCGGCTTGCTGATGATGTGTCTGCACAGCGGGCATCTCTTGGATCGTTTGGTCCTGAGGAGATAGGGGATGGGCCGGAGCTGGTCACGGAAGCGTACGTGGTCTTGCTGTAGGCAGTTCTGGGCTAGAGTCGTTGTGTCGTCGGGATGCGTATGTCTGAGTTTCTCAATCTCTTTTGACTCGTCCAGGTCGGTGGTCTTCAAGCCCTCGTCAGGGCTGACGGCCTCCCTCATGATCTGGACCTTACCGCGAGCCTGTTTGTTGCCAAAGTTGTTTCCGGTGTATAGGCTCATGATGCGTGACAATGAGCCAGGCGAATTGATGCCTAGATCACCTAGTGATGATAGACCGCCCGCCGAGGGGTTCGAGCTGGCCATCTGGTTCTGGTAGAAGGACTTGAGCTGCGCAAACTGCAGTTCGGCATCCATGTCCTCTGGGTTCAGGTGATATTCTCCATTGGTCTCCTTTTTCCTCTCCTTGTGCTCCTTGGGAGTCAGCTTGGGTTGGCCTCCATTCTGGAGCTTGGCCAACTGCCCGTGGATGCCATTCGGTCGGTCGAATTTTACTCCAATCTCGGTTGAGCTCCAGTTACAGTATGAACATGACAGCACGTAGGAAGCGCCCTGAGGAGCCGTTCCATCAGCCGTGAGAAGGTGGCTCTCGGGCGGGGTATCGAGAGCTGTAACAGCGAGGGGACCAACGCAGACGGGACATTGGAAGCAACTTCGTGTGCACCTGCGATAGTGTTAGTCAACGCCGGAACTCTCAGCCAAAAGCAAACCTTGCGCATACCTGTTGCCTTCGCTTTTAAGGTTGCTGCTTGGGACCTCAAACAAGCAATTGGGGCAGTAGTAGGTGACAATCTCCTCATTGACGCATCGCGGGCACCGGATCTGGTGACAGTCTTCGCAGTACATCAGATGCTCCAAAGGATAAAGACTGAAGTTGGCGCGCGGGGCGCGCGGGTCGAATGTCCGCTCATCGTCCTCTGGGCTCCCCGGCGTTGACGACCCGTCCTCGCTGGACTGGTGAGTCTCGGAGCAGGGGCAGCGGATGTAGGTGTAGGGGGTCAGAGGTGCCATTTTCGCTCCGACATAATGCTTTGCGGAGTGGATTCCGGGATTGAAGAGTATGTGGTTTACCACGAGGAGAGGAGGGCGACTGTGCCGCGCAGAAAGGCTCGAGGAAGGGCGTTTGAGAGTCTGCACGGAGCTGTCTCCCGGACGCGACAATGCTCCTCCTCACCGAAATCCCGCGCGGCCAGAGCCCAGGAGGATGGGCTGATAAGACCGATAAGAAGGTGAGTCTCTCGTTATCGATAAGATCAACCCTTAGCAGATATACCATTACCTAAGCGGCCTCGAACGATCCCACCCTCCATTTCGGCATTCCAGACTCACGACTTACATGGACTTCAGCTTGGTCCCTCCGAAGGCTGCTGTTAGCCCTCGGTCCATCGCCTATTATTGCGCTCGACTGCATAAGAAAATCGCCTATTGAACCGAGAAAACTATCTCTATGGACGGACGTTATTGATCAACATGCCTCAAGCTTGTCAAACCCACGCGAGACTGAGAACCGGTTCTTATCAAACCATCGTCGATTTCTCGCCAAGAACGCCCTGGGGATGCTGTCACGACTGTCATCTCACTCCTCGCCACGGGCTTCATGTCTTCAATGATAGGCTTCGGTGTCTCCGGTTGGGGACTTCGAGAGGCTTCCCGCATCTGGATTACAAGACTTGCACTTGTCTTAAGCTTCTCTCTGCCGTCCGCCATGCCGGCGGCCAGCTTCGCTTGGCGCACTCCGACTCGTCTGCGGTTTCCTTTTACCGTTCACCTTGGTCCCACCGGGCTGGGTCTTCTTTCTTCAGCTTCGACGTTTTCGTTGCGGCCCGGCGCTGCGCTAATTTATGGCGGTCCAGACTTCCTCGAGTGCGACAGGACGCCAAAAGCCAGCCGCGGGGGTCTAGGTCGTGCAAGCCCTTCCGAAGCGAGCGAGGGCTGAGAGGACATGGATAATGGCTGGGCCTGTCTTGCCTCCGGTCCGGTGGTGGACGGGAGACCTTGCTAAGCGGTGGGATCCGCCTCCGGACCTCCTTTGTGCCTCATGACCCTGAGCCGATTTCTGGAAAGATGACTGTCGCCCCGCATGAGGGATGGCTGGACTTGGACGAGTGTGGTCAGCGCAGCTTCTGCCTTGCAGATGCCCTGCATCCCCTCTTGGAGCCGCTGTTCCACGTAGGGCAGAGGCCCGTCAAGGCGTCGATGACTGTGCATGTGTGTAAGTGGCCATGTCCTTCTTGCAGAATGTCAACGCCAGTATTTTGGGTCCCGAATAACTTGCAGCTTTCGTCGAATCCGTTACGCGAGGCACACCGACGATGGAAATCTCGGGTCGGAAAATATCTATCTGAAGTCGAGAGAGCGCGGCCAGCAACAGTCCTGGGGCTGGCCCCAACCACGGGAAAGAGGGTTTTTCTGTCGGCCGACGGCATGAAGCTAGGGAACCCGAACGCACGCTCATCGTTCCATGGCGATGGTTCTCTAACTTGGTCTATCCTGGTAGATCCCGAGCACCGGCCATCACTAGCAACCGTCTGGCTCGGTAGCACAATATCGGTCGCAAGTGAGAGAGACGGAGAGGCACGAAGTTAAACCTATCTGTACTACAAACAGTAATTACGGAAAGCGGACTGATCTAGCGACGATGAAGCGTCCATGGCGGCCGACCTTTCAGAACTCCCCATCCACATCATGGAGTTTCCCGCCGTGATGAATACCCTCATGAGGTGTGACGTTCTTTGGTCCCGATGCTGTCTATCACCAGGCCTACGTGGGTGCAAGACCTAGGTTCAATGTCGCCTCTCGACAAGATGAAGACGGTCAAATCCAGTCCACACCTCCCGGATGCGATCGTGGCCGTTATATCACCTTGGGATGACTTCACATCTTGGTCGCCGTGTGACTGATGATTCAGCAGAAGAAAGCCGATTGCGATCGTCCCAAGACAATTAGCAAAGGGAAGCCCAGCTCCCGGGGGTTTAGTCGCCAATTTTCATGAGACATTGCTCAATCGAGCAAGCGGGACGCGATTCTGACCAATCATTGAGCTTCCTTGTCGATGCAAGCCAACGCCGAAGGATGCATCGAGGACGGCGATCCCCAAAGACAAGCCCCCGGAGTTTGGGCTGAAGGTGGGCAGAGGCAAGCCAGCATCGACGCTTTGCATCACCACCCTATCACTAGCATTCCCCAAATGTCACAGGGAGAAGGGACTGCATACGCAAGAATGCTCATACCAGCGAGGAAACAAGTCACATCTGGCGCCATGCCGATCACTTCAACGTCGACTACCTAGGCTTCCGTCACAACAGCGTTTGTGGAGACGCAGAGACTGTTTGAGACCTCCAGACATCATACGTCGCCGTTGAAAGGCAAAATGATGCCTCTCGCCGTCCTTCTTTGCGAGAGGTCGGCTCACGGACGGGGAGCCTGCAGTGGCACAGCCTGGAGCTGACGGATGCTGCAGCAGCAGTGTTCCTCAGGAACAGACTCACTACGCCTGTATGCGTATGCTGCTGCTGCACAGAGTCTGAGAAGTCTGAAGAGACTGCCAGCGCATCAGAGCTGTGGATGACAGGCACATTCGCTTGGCTGTCCTCGAAGAAGCTGCAGACCAGGGTAGGGTCCGGACTGAGGGGTTCACCCATTGCTCTAGTGGCGGCCCGGTCTAAAACATGGCTTGGAGCTATCCCTCTGTCTCCCGCCGCGTCACTCGACACTCTACGACAGGCAGCTCGGACCGTGGGCAAGCTGGCGGGTCTTTGCCAGGACGCAGCCCAGTCCCGGATTCTGGGTCAAGTCAGTTCTTGATCCGGGACAAGTGACATAAAGCCATCTAGACGCCCACCCGAAGACGTTTTGTAAGGTTTTCGGCGTCCATTTCCCCATCCAACCACAGCTCTCTCGCCCATCCGGACCGGCTGTTTTCGACCAGGTTCGACAAGGCCGTGGACAAGTGACGATCTCAAGTCATTGTTCACTGCTACGGGCGTACTGGGTACATCCGCTAGCTACCTCAATCACTTCAGTGATCAACGCAGATCTGACAGGGGTTTTTGTGGACTATTGGCGGTCCGGAACATCTCCTCTGCAGTCATCGGCGCCATCCACTCCTGTCAGCTTTCAATCTCAGTGAAACTCTCTGGCCGCATTTAGCTGAGGGCTAAGGCTTCCCGTCACGGGAGCTATTCAACGATCGCCCATATCAACGTCCTTGATCCCGCGACTTGTCTCGCGCTTGAAGTCTCACAATGTACGGCCGACGAGATTCTCGAAAACGAATGTCTCTACCGCCCACTCGCACAATGTCAACAACATCAACACAAGGCTGGACGCCTAAGACGCTTGGGAACCCTATCATCGAGGGAAGGATGCCTCAAAATTCAAAAGTCAAGAGGTGGGACGGAGCGGCAAGGTCTTGCAGTGATTGGGATAATCTGAGAAGAGTAAGCTGATCCTTTTCATCGTCATGAGAGAATTCCGCTGGAGCGATGTCTATTGACCTGCGATTCTTTGCTAACGTTGTTGTCTCAGGACCCTGAATTATGGTTCCGCGGTGGGAACTGCTTCGTACACTTGTACGGCAAGGGGCAGTCCCGCAGAGGACCTGCATTCAAAGTACCATTCGGTGCTTTACTTTCAGCAAAGTGCCATCCGTTTGTCAAGAGATTTATGGCCCGCGATATGCCTGAGACGCCAGGTTCATTCCATGACCAGTATGATGATTTGGACCGGTGGAATGCTCTCAACCCCAACGAGCGGATCGAGCTCTACATTCCAGCACCCCCAATGGCCGACAAGGAACAGGCATTTTCCTACCATCTCGCAACGAGAAATTTCTTTGCATGGATCTTCCGTCGCTCAGTGGTCGGCGAGCATCTCGGCACCGCGCTCATCGGCCTTCTCAACAGCATGGCGGAGTTCAGAGGCAACGAACAGGATAACGTGTCGGATCTCACTTCTTACTTAGATGAAGAGGGCTACTATGACATCAAGGGTGTGCCGCAACACGCACTCGCTATGCTACATCTGGCTGAAGTCTTCCAATTGAGAGACTTGTACGTCGACGCATTCAGCCACTGCGTTGGAATGAGCGAGGAGCTCTTCTACAGTCCAGAGTATCAGGTATGTTTTGCTCATCTCTAACGGCTGCACGTCTGACTCACAGAACATAGCACATTGGCTCAGTCTCCAAGACGCTGATTCGACGGGCGCGGACTGAGATGAATTCTAGACTCAGTCAAGCTGGTGGCATGCTCAAGAACTTCCTGGAAGAGGAGCTCTCTGAGACACATCTTGGCCTTCCAGCAGGCGGACGTGCCCACCTGGACCGATTCCGATCCTTTATCCAATCATTTTACACAACAAAGTTTGGCTATTATCCGCCATTGTCCTTCGACACTCGCAGTAGCACCATCTTCGACCCTGAGATTTTCAGTACCATGTGCAAGGACTTCAAGGCCGTTTATGACTTGCTTGTAGACGAGGAGTTCACTTCAATCGAGAGCAGCCCGCTACTGGCCCAAGGTGGGATCTGCGCCGTGCAGAGTGTCCAGGAATTCGATGAGCGATGCAACTTCAAGTCTCTGAGGCATCCGCTGCCATTACTGCCCGAGACTGTCAGTGACAAGGCATCCCGTCGCATGTCACTACAGTGGTTGGCGAACACCGCACGAGGCGATAAGCTAAAGCCTGACCAACGCCTAGTGGCCCACAGTGCCATGATCAAGGCAATGAACATGCGTGACCCAGCACTCTTGGACAACGACTTTGTCCGCGCCTACCGCAAGTTCGAAGAGGATTCCGTTTCACCTCTTATCCGCGTCGACAAGGCCGAGAAAATTAGTCTCGTGGACGCCCGCAAGGTGCGCTGGATTCTGATTTACGCGGTCTACCAAGTGCTCCTCAGCTGCACGCAGGCACCATCAGAAGTTCGCGACGCTGCTGGTGCGGACTATCACCTCGCAGTGTCGTGTGAGAAACTGCCGCCCTGGAAGGAGGGGCGCCGATTGCAAACCCTCCTCCGCAAGCAGACAGACATCGCAGTCGATACTAAGCGATCGCAATCCGTCACGGACTGGGCAACGGGCTGCCACGGCACACCGTCTGTAGTTGTGTCGCCGACCATCGAGATTCGACCAGACGTCGACTACACTGCCAGATCCCGCCGTGACGAAATAGCCACCCGTCGGCAGTCAACATGCGGGATCCCAGCCGCGGCGGCCCCGGCCCGCTCACGGAGCAGGAGCTTGTCCCGCAACAACCCGTTTCGACGATCTCTCAGTATCTTCCGCAAGCTGGAGGAGCAGTGCGCTCCGGCACCCCGCAAGGCATCATACTGTGAGATCGTGGTCCACGGCTACGGCAACGGCACTAACGCCGTTAAGAAGTGGGAGGGCCCTCCCGCGGAGGTCTCGCCCCGGACTCATGTCGCACCGCGTTCCTTCTCAACTTCGTCAGAGTCCAGCGGCGCCTCTGAGGCTCCCTCGATGGGTGGTCACAGCTACGCGACCGTGGACTCCACGGCGCCGCCGACCTCGCCCGACGCGCCAAGCAAGAACTGGCCGAACCAGGAATCGCCTATGCTGAGCCCTGTTCCTCTACGTGGTCGTCGGCGCATGAGAAATGTGCTTTCCTTTGCGGGGACGCCGCCCCGCGCCAGTTCTTCGGAGTGGACGGCAAACAACCGGCGTCACAGTGTTATCGGGGGCGGCGCCGGTAGCTATGCTCATGACTATGAGGAGCTGATTAAGGAGCAGGAGGCGGACTTCCACCGCCATGAGCTGGAGCCTCTTCCCCTGCAGATCCGCAAGTCTTCGGTGCCGATTCACGAGTCCCCCGTGTTGGGCCAGATGGATGTGCAGCCTGTGTGGGAGCAGTTCAAGGACCTTGGTGGTCTTACTAGCTGCTCGCCTCTAAATATCTAGACCGGCTGAGTGTACTGAGTACTACTTTGGCCGGAATGTACGAATGGTAGTGGCACACTACCATTTGTGTTGTTTTCTTTGTATGTATTGGTTTGGAAATGACGAGATACCCTGTCGCACCCTCCTTATATAGGCCTGCGCATGGCGATGATTGAAATGAAGGTTGGGGAAGGAGTTCAAGCCTGGATTGTCATGGCACACTGTACAATATTCTTACCGGAAAATCGAAGAAAAGAGAACGAGATGAGAACCATGGGCTTCGTACACTTGAACGGTGACTTTCATATCACAGATGACGTCCGATGACACGAGGCGATTTTTGGACTGAATACGTCTACGCTCCACTACGTTTGTAAGGAATCAAAAGGCTGCTACCGGCTCGTCTCTTCGTAAGCTGTGTGTATTCTCATTCGCCGTTCACCTGTAAAGCAATCATCATGTAAAATGGGCGTAAGTGCTGACAGCAGTGACGTTTCTGCGCATGGTACCTGCAGGAATGCAGCCATCGTGGAGTTGGATGTGCACATGTCAAAAAATGCGCGACCTATCGCTCACACGCTGCATCGAATCAGGCTCGACACCCACTCGGGAGGGGTGTAAACGGGGCTGTTATCATTTCAAAAATTACTGCATATGTCCATTTATCCTTGTCCTATATTTACCGTTGCCTTACAACTCAGGTTCCGGGCCTCCATCTACGGCTGGCATGCTCGCGCAATGCTCGCGCTTTTTACAGCGCTGAATGCACAGAATAAAGGCACCTGGTTGTGCCTGTGCGGATGCGATCATACGAGAGTCTGAGATTTCAACGCTGCGTCGCAAATACCAGCAAACGGCTATTACTCAGTCTTGGTCGTCTTTGACGCGAGGGCCAGCCCGTCGACGATCTCGCCACCCATGGAGAGGATCATGTAGCCTGAGCCGAGGAGCCATGCGCCGCTAGAGTTGCGATATAAGTCAGCTTCCTTCACATATTGCGATTAAGCTTGTCTGTTTCAGGGAAGAGCTTACTTGGGAATGATCCAGAGGAAGAGGAGGTCCAGAGGGGGGTTGTGGCCAATGTTGTCAAAGCCAGAGAAGTACTCATTCGCCCCTGTGGCATCATCGTCGTTAGTACATCATCGCTTCACAGGGCTCCAGGAGCAAAAGGAAAGAGAGTCGCGCTCACAGTACAACACCGTCTTGCTCAACGTCATAACAGCCGCGCTGAACCCAATAACAATAGCCAACGCGCCCGCCTTTCCACCAACAACCTTCTTCAACCCAGCCGGCCCGTCAACGGCGCGTCCCCGCGAGAAGTACAGCCAGTAGTAGGCGAGATACATGATCGTCTCGACGGCGTTCAGCGCGCCCTGCGCAGAGGTGAAGCCGTTGCCGGCGTTGAACGCCTTCCACCCGTACACGTGGTCGACCTCGCCGTAGAGCTTGTAGGGCGCCCAGACGGGCCAGTGGAGGTGGCCGCCGGGCATCGTCCAGGGGCGGAGGAGGACGTAGCCCGTGTCCCAGATGACGAGGGGCAGGGAGACGAGGAGCCAGAAGCAGGTGAGGGATGTCGGCGCGTGGGACCAGCCTTGCGGGGTGGACTTGTTTTCGGGCGTGGTTGTTGCGGCGGTTACGACGGCGCGGGCTTTTGAGGGGATGGTTGGGGAGGCTTCGGGGCCGGTTGAGAGGGCGCGGGAGGAGGATCGTGTTGAGACCATCTTGTTGGCGGCGCTGGGTCTTTGGATTTGGGTAGCTTTCGCGATGTGAGGGTATCGTGGGGGAGGAAGCGTTGGCTCGGTATGGTCCGTCGAGTCTTTGACGCGTTGTTTATCGGGTTGTGTGTATGTGTCTTCGTGTACGTGTGTCTTCGTCGAGAAGTAGTAGGAGGGAAGCTTCGGAAAGGTTAATTGGACCGAGAAGGACAAGGACAGGTAAAGCAACCGGGATCAAGTCAATTAGACTGCCCGTCCCAGTGTCCCAGGGACCAGTTCACAAACGGCCAGGGGCCACAGAATAGGTGATCCGTGCCGTTACACTCTCCACACAGGAACCGACCGGCAGTCCTGGGGCTTGAGGCTTGAGCAACGGTGGGTGGCACCCGAATACGACAGACGGGCTGTTGTGTCGCGACACTCGCAAACCTTCTTTGGCCCCTCGGAGTGGTCTTGCGCAGTCTTCCCGAAACGGTTCGCGCCTTCGCAGTACGTACATACATACATAGTGTAGAGGGGCAGCGGCGCGATTAGTCAACCCGAGTGCCGTGTCCCCACTCTTTGGACGGATACTCGGTGATCCGTGCTTCTCTAGCGAATTGCGGGGGAGGGGCAGACATGTCAAGATACAAAAGGAAACATCGCGAAGGTCTAGCTCATCTTTGCTTTTAAAAGTCGATTCCTGGCCTGGATGCAGCTAACGACTTTAGCCAAGCCTGGGGGCACCTGTATCGATGATCGAAACTTTGCGAGCTTGTGCTGATGCTTTTCCATTGACTAGCACACATTTGCTTTTATGGGTTTCTCCAGTTTGGCTGACGAGGCTGGACGAAACGAAGAGTGCCCCGTGAACTGTGTGTCGAGTGATCTGACAACGGTGCCTACGGAAACCAGAGCCCTCGGGCTAATTGTTACTAAGACATGTTTTCATTCCTTCAAGTCCGATCAGGCGAGTGCCTTCCGCTCTTTCTCAGCTTCGACGCGTAATCTGCACGAGATGAGCACCAGTGTGCTCTTCTTTGGTGGCCTCTCTTCACCGCGAGGCCTCGACATGGCTTGTGGGGGAAAAGACGCGCTAACACTAGCTCGTTGGGAAAGAGGCGAAGGGAGAAATGCAAAATTGCTGACTAGGACGAACTAACTCGTCATGGGACAATTCGTCTACCTTGCCTTCAAAAGTAAGCCGTCTGCCCATAGCACAAATCAGGCAACCCTTTCTTTCCAGAGATCCAAATATTTACCAACCACAGAAAACTTCTAGAACCCGCAAACTCTGTTTCCAGTTGAAGCCTCAAGAAGATGGACATCCAACGGATGCATCACTATCGCACAGGGAGCGGAAGCTCTTCACGCACAGAGAATGGCTCGGAGAATGACTGGACGAAGATAGACGCGCAGAGCGACGCGCAGAGTGACGCGCAGAGTGACTCGGAGAGCGGCGACTTGGAGAGCGACTCGGAGACCAATTGTGGAAATGACTTACTCCCCGAATCGTACAAAAGCAATCAAGTGCGAAGTTTCACACCGACTTACACACCGATTTGGGGGTTGGCCCCGACGGTTCAAACGTGCCCCTTTAAGAATTGCGGCAAGGAATTCACCTCGAATGCGATCTTCCGAAGACATTGGGTTGTCCGACACGGGCCACTACCCACCTCGCAACGTGCGAAGAGCAGTTCCACCAGTCGTGATATCACAGTGCCTGCATCTACCAAGGAATTGTCTGATAGGTTGTCGGGACTTCAAGTTTCGGATGTCCCTCAACGTTCTCATGACCCTCATCCAGCACCTTCGATTGCGTCCACTTCGGATGCATTTGCCGGATACCCTGGGCCGGAGATGAGGGACGGCCCTGGGCACAACATCTTTCCAGCAAAGCCTGGATTCGAATCGACAAATTCTGGACACAAGCTTCGTCCGCTCGAAAATCCACAAGTTCAACTCGACGAATCAGACGCACGTCCACTGGCCACTGCACCTGGAGGACCGTCGATGGCAAAGCAGGGAGACCGAGATACCCATCGCATCATGAATGAATTAGTCTTTAGAGCTTTGTATGACCTTGAGGTCAAAGTGCAAACCACTTGTTACCAGAAGACCACGGTCCAAGGCGAAGGGAAAGTGCCAACAAGGAAACGCACTCGGGGTCCTGCAAAACAGCAACAGCCACCGAGCCGGAAGCGGCAGGCATTTTCTCAAAGGCAAGGTGAAGAATATAACCAAAATGACAACGACCAATCAAGTGACGACGATTTGGACGGCCACGGTCCTGAAGACGGGAAAGATGGTACGGGTGTAGGTGATATGGACCTGAAATATCTGGCCTGCCCTCTCTTTCGAAAGGACCCCCGAAGATACGCGGCTTGCGCGAAAAGCCGACTCAGGCGAATTAGAGATGTCAAGCAGCACATGAGAAGAAAGCATACCAGACCGGAGTACTACTGTCCCACTTGTTGGGAAACATACTCGGGACCCGACGAGCGGGACAACCACCTTATTCAACGCTCTTGCAATGCCTCGGAAGCATCAAGCCCACCATGGATTTCACAAGAGCAAGACACTCTACTAGAAGGAAGAGTCCCAAATGGATCAACGGAGGAGCAATGGTTCAGGGTGTGGGACATTGTCTGCCCTGACCGTACACGCCCGGAACCTCCATTTTGTTTCTTGGGCAGGATGGTCGAGGACATCAGCATCATGCGGCGAGAGCTCTGGGAAACCAAGGGTCCCAAGATCATCGAAGACCTCGTATCTCAGCGAGAGGCCACGCTCCGAGAACCTCTCACAGAGGAGAACAGGAGTCTGCTTCAGAGATGCATCATGGAAGCTGTCCGGCATGTGCTGGAGCATCCTGATGTCACGCAAGCGAGAGAGGTTCAATGGAACCAGGGCGACGGTCTTGCTGTATCCGTCCCCGATATCCCTGAAGACGTTTCCCACGCAGTTCATTTTCAACCATGTGGGACGCAAGATACCGGTAACTCCTTCCAGGATGGTTCTTCTTCCATTGCAAACCTCGGGCAGGCATTCCAGTCGGATGCCGCTCAGCAGGTCGAGTCATTTTTTACGAATTTCTGGCCTTCCAGTTTGTAGACATCCGAACATGAAGGATCCGGTGCGGACAACCGCAACGTCCTGGATACATTTTCGCCAAAATGGATATGAAACTATTTTCGAACGCGTTGCGGATTAGTGCATGAAGCCGCCAGATAGGATGGTCTTTCGTTTGCTATTTGTTTGCATCTAGTCTCAGCATGCAATCTTGTACATGTAGTCCTGTTTCCGCATGGCGGCTGGTACAACAAGGGTTTGTTGTTGTTGTGGTCGTGCTGTTTATAAGGCAGGCAGGGCAACCTCTCACGAAGTTTCAGTACTTAGAGCAAATGTAGATTGTCACTCGTTAAATGAACTGGAACCGATTCTATCGCTGGGAAGCCCTTGTCCCGAAGGCTGAGTCCCTATGGCATCTAATATCACTCTAAGTATTGCTCGATGAACAGACCAAAGTCTCGCACTAGCTGGTGCGGGTATGAGGACAAAGTTGAAAGTATTGGCGCCTAATAGATTTGAACTCCCGTCCATTTCCCATGGTCGTTACGATTAAAGCAAGAAATTGAGAAAACAAGTAGACAATGGAAAGGACAAGATGAGAAAGACCAAGCCAATTGTGTAAAAAGCACGTCTTTGGAGGCTATCCTGGCTCGCGCTGGCATTTTCAGTGTTCTGGCGGGAGGAGATTACTTGGTGACTGGTAACCTTCTTCGTTGGCCGCGATTGTATGTTCGTCAAGGATACGCGCCCAGGTATCGGTAATGACCGGGTTGATGGTTCGTTGTCGCTGGTTCAGCCCTTGCGGAAAGAAGTTGACGCCAGGTTCTGGCGAATGAAAAGGCGTTTGGGCTTGTCCGATGGCCGTGTAGTGCACTCGAGGGAAGGTGGTGTTGAGCATGGGATTTGTTCTGGAGCCAGACCTGTTGGTTTGGTAGTGCTGCTGAGCACCGGGGCTATGGTGATTCATTAATGCCAAATTGTATGAGATGTGTGCTGCTCGAGCCTGATGGGAGTTCCTCGGAGCATTGAACGGTTGATACGGGCTCTGAAAGGGGTCAAACGTTGAGCGGGGTTGCGATTCATCGATGTAGGTTATGTTTGTCGGACCCAATGAGCTTGGGGGAGACATAAGAGAAGCCGCCGCCGCGGGATTGGAACCGGGAAACACCTGGCTTTGGACAGAGCGCGAGGATGGACTGGAGGGGTGGAATGAAGCTGAAGTTGGTGGCCCCCGAGTGCCGTTGGCAGCTTGAGAATAATTGTGCGGCTCGATTGGCCGTGGTGACACTACCGGGCGTGGACCCCAGCTGTTGTCCAACACGCGAATAACTGCTTGGACGACGTGATCACTCAACCCAAGCTGTAGCCCAAGCTGCTGCACGCCAACGGCCATTCTGGGAGCCACTCGTTGTCTTGTCGCAAGCTCTTCGACGTCGTCAGAGTAGGGCGACTCAGGTCTCTGCTCGCCCGGAAAGATAATGTCCCAGATCTTGAACCAGAATTCCTTCTCATCTCCACCGCGAGGCTTCTTCAGGTCTCGAATAGAGGCTATTTGGTCTTCATTGAGACCAGAAGCATCGAATTCACAGACACCAGGACGGCATGTTCGTGCCCTTATATGGGCGCTACGTTCTGCGAATGTGGTGAATAAGGAAAAGCAAATGACACAATGAATGGGTTGACGGTGATTGCCTCTCCCCTCTTCTGTCAAGTGTCTCCTGATGTCCCTAACTTCGTCAAATTTGTAATGGCGGCAGCACTCATGGGCGACAGTGTCGTGCGCGTAAAAGTGGCACGCGAAAAGCCTCCCCTTCCTGACTGCTTTGGCTTTGGGGGCGACTGCGACACGCGGGCGTTTTCCACTACGCCCGCGGCTCGTGGTGCTAGAAGCAGCGCTCCCGCCTGACTTTGTAGCTCTCTTCCTTCTTCGACGTTCATCGGTTCCAGAGGCCACGCCCCCGGATTCGCTAGTCTTTTCTGAATTACCGCCTGTAGTGCTGCTCTTTGGTATGCAAACTAGATGCTTAAGGTACAGTCCAGGCGCGGTGTACAGTTCTCGAAGGAGCCGTGGAATTGGCGGGCGACCGAGTAGATCAGTAAAAGCTCGCCAGCCTGTGGACAAATGTCCACTGGGCTGGGAACTTGGATTCTCGTTGGGGCACAGCGCTGCTGGCACCCACTTGGCGAACAGAGAGACGGCAACCGGTTTCAGCAGGTAAAGACCAGTGCCACAGACCGCGAGTAAGTTATAAAGGCCATGGCGAATCTTGACGTCGTCGAGTCCAAAGACTGGCCACTGAGAACATGTATGCTGTGCGAGGGCTGGACCGAGGTGACGGGAGGGTGTTTGCAGTACTGCAACGCCGGCCGGAGAGAGTTGAACGTAGGAACGGTTTAGTTGTGACGAGTCCGAGAGAGAACCAGAGAGCGAATCAAAGGAAGTCAGACAGCCTCCCAGGGCGTCTGCAGCGGTGGAACAAACGTCGACTACGGTACACTGGCTCGATGACTGGCCCAAACTGTTACCCCCGACGGTTGACAATCGGTTGGCTACAGTGTCTGAATAGACGATCAAGCCGCTTGAGAGCCTCAGTAGCAAACTCATCGACAAAGGTTGTTGGAAACGAAAACGGAATGCTTTCAGGCTGTTGGCTGAGAGCGTCTATGAGGCAAAAGCTATATGATATGCTTGTGGAATTGTAGGAAATGAGAAAGGAGGAAAGAAACCAGCAACGGCTTCCGTCTGTGAGAAATCCTAGACTCCAGTCGCCTCCTCAACCAACTCCTCCCTTTAGCGCGGCTGCCTTCCCGTCTCCTGGTAATCAACATCTACTCCCAAGTTCTCACACCCCGATGAGGACATCCGATGAGGCTCTTCGGCCGGGCAGCTTGTATTCTCAATGTACGGAGCTCTGTACAGCCATCGTGATTTTGCCGGGGCGGACTCGGAGGCGTACTGTTCCGTATCCATTCCGTCGAGTTGCCCAGGATCGCGCTCTCCCTCACCGCTGCCGTGCTCATGGTGAGGCTGTTCCGCCTTCTGACTCCTGATCCAACGATCTAGACTCTCTCTTGATGTGATCTTGTCGTCAGTCATCTGATTCGCCAGGCCATCGAGACATCTCTTCCGAGCCGCCCAACAATCGAGGTCCATGCACAAGGCAAGCCGTTGCCTCGCGCCACAACAAGCCCCTAAGGTCTAGAAAACCTGATCCGGATGCGCGGAGTTACAGGACATTTTTCTACTTTGATCCCCCCGTAGACACGATTCTACGTCACTCCTGAGCAGTTGCGCATGACAAGCGAGCGGATTTACTGATTGAAACGCGCGATTGCTCGTTTCTGCAATCTTGGAAATGCGCAATGTACGTACAATAACGACACACCCCAAAGGCGAACCAATTCCCACAGTACACACCAGTTCGCCAGGCCACAGTTAGGAAAAGAAGCGCAGCTGCTCATGGAATTGCTTTCAATTGCGCACAACTGCGCTGCGCGATAGTCTGGGGAATTGCGCAGTGAAGCAGAGACTCCTGATATGGGCCACCTAGAAAGACGTAGAAAAGATGGGAATGAGCGCTCTGAACTTGAGCACAAGGTGTTCTCTGGATGTGTTTGTCAGTCACAAAACTTTCGTCAAAGTAAGAACAAATCAAGTAGTCTTGAAGAATCAGCCAAAAGAACCATTTCAGTTAGAAACTCGAGATGCCGAGCAGCGATGCACACTCCCTCCGTACAGGAGACTCGAAGTGGGTGCTTCAGTCCTCCACCGACTTTCGTCATGCTCATTGTTTAGCAGGTCGGGCAAAAGCGGCCAGCGGGCTATGCGAACCACCAGACTTGAGGCGTGGATGACGGAGGAACCACCAATCCCACTCGCAGCTTACGGTCTCGCACAGACAACCGGCAGAAGGCAGGGTACACAGTCAGGGATTGAGAAATTTGATCAGACGTGGGATAAGGCTGCGAGGAAATAATAAAGATACCCAATACATATCATACAAGCAGCGAATGCTGGCTTCAAGTTTCTTGACTTTGACTTGAGGCCTGAAAGTTGGTTCGCCAACAAAGGGACCTGGGCCAGGTGCTCTCAGACAGTTTCTTGACTTTGACTTGAGGCCTGAAAGTTGGTTCGCCAACAAAGGGACCTGGGCCAGGTGCTCTCAGACCATCATACGGACACTGTGCATTTTCTGGCTGCAAATGCCTGCCCTAACCTAGCTAGGGAGGCTTGTCTAAGGTTGCACAGCCCTGAAGCCCTGAAATCTGCAACCATCTCGCTCCCTTTCAGTGGGGGAGACGTGCTCCAGTCCAACTTGTCACACCCACTGCATCTCAATATAGGCCTGGTACTTCTGCGCCGGAATCTTTGACACGGAACTAGGTGGTGTGGGATAGATAGAAAGGATAGTTGGTCATTTGCGCGTCTGAAAGTTCCGAGAAAATAATGAATCGAGGGCTGAAATTGACCTATAAGTTTGGAAATCCCACCCACCATTTACAGAGGCCCCTGAATCGCGAGAAATGTTCTGGGACTTCGAAGTAATCGCCTTAGCTCTGCTAGTACCTAGCTCGAGGGCCCGATCATGGACCTAAATCCTCACCATCGAGAGGTTCTCAGCGACGTAGACGAGACTTCCCAGCTATCAGGCTCCTACTTTGTCGTTCCCTCGCCCGCCACGATGTTTTGGGATGAGCTTGAGTCGTCTTGGCCCTGGCTTCCTTCTCTCCAGGACCAGCCACAGACGTGTTACGGCGGTGAGAATGAGTAATGCGTACAGAGATTGAACATCGCTAAGAGCAGTGTAGAGCTACCTGGAAGTCACTTTCTGGGCGATGGGATACAGCTGCCGCTTGCAGAGTTACCATGCTTTGGCCCTGTTCTCTCGCAAGACTACGTTTTGAAGTCACAAAATGAGACATATATTGAGCCAGCGGATCATCAATCTATAGCAATCCCTGGTGTTCATGGCCAGAACTACTTTTATCAGTTCTCACAAGGTGGGTGCTTGAAATACCAAAAAGAAGATAGGCTCGTTCCT